CAATCTCAAATCTGACCTTGTACTCATCCACAAAACACACTGTGGACCAACTTGTGAAAATATAGTTCCACATGGAATATAGTTTTACTTCCACTGATACTCATTTTGAATCAGTTGATATAATTATGAACATGAAACATGACTATGGTGATGTATGTTTGGCCTAGTACTTAGGACATCTTCATTGCACATCAGATAGACTGGGTTCAAATCTCTGCTCAGGCCAGACTTGTTTCTGCCACTTACCTAGAAGACCAAAATTTTGTCCTCAGGTTCTGGCTCTGACCTTAACCTGGCCCTAAATACTGTGGGCAACTGAGGAGAGAACCAATGGTTGGGCATTTTCTACTTCAAACAATAATATGTATTATTATTATATTATATATATTATGCATACATATATATTTTTTAGAAAACCCATATGTGATGATGTTTTTGAAACATTTTACCCTAACTTGTTAACTGCCACTGTTCAGTGTTTGCAATTAAAAAGTTTCCATACTTTTTTTTATTATCTTCAGGATAATTATCTTATTTTATTTTATTATCTTTTATTATCTTCAGGAACATGTATATCCTTCAGTGAGGGACAGTGGTACCATAAGTTGAAAAATCAGATTGGAAATCAGCATTGAGAAAAATTTGGCTGATACATTTGTAGCACTAGAGTCGGCAAACCATCTGCTCCCTTTGTCAGTGATAAAGTTAACAGTAGTGAATGATTAATAATTTCTCTCCATTGACCTACATTGTTCCCACATTTTGGTAAATGGGTTCTTAGGATAATGTCCTCTCTCAGCCTTGGAAACTCACCCTGTCCAAGTTAATTCTAATTTATGAGATTCATCTATTCCTCCGATTATGACACTACCCTTTAAAGTGGTAGAAGTCAGTGGGCCCTATAATACAAAGTGAACAACTCAATTTGATTGTAATGAAGTATTTTTAATTGCACCTCCAAAAGTCTGGAGAAGCTTAATGTGTCCAGGCAGTTCAGCTCCCAAATGTGTGGTTATGCTTGACAAATTAAGACCACAGCCAGCAGGACCTAACGGAAAAGCCTGGGGAACATCACTCCGGAATGCAGCAAGATGGCAGGGTGTGCATGGGCTCATGCTTCTAATGCTTCACTGTCAAGATGTGCTGTGGGAAATCCTGCTGTTCTGATCCAAAAGGAGGAGGACGCTTCCTTGATGGGTCATCATGATTACTCTATCTTCTGCTTCACGCCATTACCCTACACCAAATCCTTTCTTGCATGTTAAGAAAGTATAAATATTTATTCCACTAAGTATAAAGGTTTTTCCCTCTTTCCTTTTCATTGGGCTTGAAAGATACAGGAGTGGGGGGTAAATAAAAAGCATTACCAAAACTTGTTTGATTTTACACATCATATAAGTCTGCATCTAGGTGTAAAGTCTCATAGTTTTAAAATTTATTTTTATTGGTAAGGCAGATATACAGAGAGGAAGAGTGACAGAGAAGATTCTCTGTCTGCTGATTCACTCCCCAAGTGGCCGCAATGGCCGGAGCTGAGCCAATCCCAAGTCAGGAGCAAGGAGCTTCCTGCAGGTCTCCCGCGTGGGGACAGGATCCCAAAGCTTTGGGCCATCCTCTACTGCTTTCCCAGGCCACAAGCAGGGAGCTGGATGGGAAGCAGGGCCACCAGAATATGAACCGGCACCCATATGGAATCCCAGCGCATTCAAGGCGAGGACTTTAGTCTCCAGGCTACTGCGCCGGACCCAAGTCTCTTACATTTAGTGGAAAACTCATCAGTTTCAACTTTTGCCATTAGCCAGAAAGATGTTTGTCAGATGAATATGTCCCTCCTTGGCTAAAATCCTAATGTAACAACAGGAAGTTCTATCATCTTCTAATATTACATGTTAACATAATTGGAAGACATGAATATCCTTGAATGAATTCTAATTCCAAGGCATTGGAAAAGTATATTTCAATAATGACAACACAAACAATTTTAAAATTTTTATTGATATAGATTGAATAATGATTCACTGTACTTTCTGATGAACCAATTAGCAGTCTCAAAGATCATTTCAATTTTTTTTGAGAGTACAGAGTAAACACAAAGTGATTTAAACAGGCACATTTCTTAAAACAAATGAGTACTAAAAAGATCCCATTGAATACATGTGGCATTATTCCTAGTTTTATGAATACTTTTTTCCTAAATAAATTCTGGCAGAAAACATTCAGAGATTCAAACTTACAGTGGTGAACATATTAAAATGTGTCTATCTGAATGTGCATGTATATACATGCGTGTGGATGTGGGGGGTTCATGTGTGATTCTCAGTTGTTTGTTTTACTATCTTAATGGATCCCCCTTCTTTCTGCTTGCCCTGATGGTCTTTTTTGACTGACTTAATCACTCCGAAATGTTATGATTATCTCTTTTTCATCATCATTTTCTGTTTTTCAAACATTTTCTAGTTTTCAAAATAGGCATTCACCCAAGAATGCCTATTTTGAACGAGGGCTTCAGTGAGAAGAAAAACTAAATTACATAAAAGTAAAACCCTACTCTATTCCCAGTACTGTTCACAACCTGCCAAAAAACTTTCAAGCTTCCAATCACAGCACACAGAAAATTAGCTTGTCAGGAATCCACATTTCTGTGATGGGCTGGCTGGGACCCCCTAGTGTCACTGCTACAAGGTCAAGCGTTGATAGGATTACTTTTATTACAAAGCACACTGTGACATTTCATTGTCTCTTTAGTCCCTTCTCTTAGTTGGCCAATACTAAAGATTTGAAATGGGTTTGCATCTAAATTGGACAGACCCATTATCTGGGAACCACTTGAACTATATGTAGTCTTCTGTATGGCTCCCCAACACTTTAATCTTCTGTCTTGAGATGTTCCCAGTTTCCTCTCTTCATTGATCATCTCATATTTTAGAGCTTAGCTACATGCTGAGCATCTGTCGTATGTAACTACTTAGGGACATCTTTATAGACTGAGTTCACCACTGCCTATGTTGGTTGGAATAACTGCCACAGGGCACAATGGGAGTTGATTGCCTAAAAAAAAGTTTGTCTTACTGCCTTAAAATAATGACTTAAAAATAAAACTTATATTGAAGCTTAACTTTGAGTAAATATTATGAAAGAAAAAAAATGAATTCTTAAAAGACTTAATTCTACATACTACTTAAATGAGAAAAAAGTTTTTAAAGTCAAACATAGCAAGCTCCATGGCCTTTTGGTGTACGAATTTATAATAATGAAGACTACCTCTAAGGAAATAATTGACATAAAGTTTGTTTTCTTTTTAAAACTACTGTATTTAAAAAGTTATTTGAGTTGTAAACACGCAAGGATAAGCCAGTTTTAGGATCACATTGTTGTGTCACAGTAACAGAAATGTGAATCACATTTGTTTCTTTAGTTCATGGATTCAGGATCTCCTACATTCTCAATACTGAGCTACTAAACTCTCGATAGAAGTTGTTAGGAAAATCCAAATCTTCATTTCTGGCTCCAAGGTGCCAAGAAACGATGCGTGATCATAAAATCACACACAGTCAGCTGCTTTTGTATTTTGGTTAACCAGGTAGTTTGAAAATGATTATCCCAGTAGCCCTGGCTTCACATTGGAGAAGCAGAACTAGAGGAACTGTTAATGAGGTATACTTGGTGGTAGTTCTGTTGCTTGTCTCTTGCCCCAGAACTGACCATGGTATTGAGGATGGATATGCAGAAGTTATGCTTTTTACCAGGTAGCAGTTACAGGTGATTCAATTTCACCTATCTATGGCGTCTTCTTCATATTTGGTTGATGGTAACTTGATTCTAATTACTCTAACTTTGCAGATTTAGACACATGATGATGTAGTTTTTCAAAATGTCTTTTTCCATAACATCATGTATATGCATAGGGACTAATCACTGAAACAGGCTGATATTCTGATTTGACTGAGATACATAAACACACAAGTATTAGCAGTCAATGTTTTCATTTTCCGTCTCATGGCTTTACTTATATTTTGTTTAATAACTGGAGGGAATTTTCTATATGGCTTAACTTATGATTAAGTAAATATCTGATGATTGTCTGCTAGCCAGATAATAATTCTGATAGATCAACTAATTTTGGGGATAGAAGGTGACGCCTATATTGAAGTTTGTTTTTTTAAAAAAAGATCTTCTACAGTACATGTATATAGGAGTTCAGTCCTGTGTTCAGGCTTGGACGTGCATTAGTTGGTGGTTTGTAAAAACAGCTATTGCACATGTTTGGGGGTTCAGAGGAAAATTAAGCCTCTCGGGCTTCCTTCCTTTCTTCTTAACATGGGATGAAAAACACAAAAACAAAAACTAAACCATAATTGTCAGCCTCACTGTAAGGAGATGGGTGACCTTTCCCCTTTAATCCCTGTTGTTTTCTCTGGGCAAGCAGGTTATATAACCTTAGTCTGGGCTATACTATAGTCCTTATGATTTCACTTTTATGATTCAACCTTTGTTTATGTAATTTTGGGAAAAAATTAATTTGTTCATGCTGCTTTTCTTTTTCTGGAAAATCTTTGGGTCAAATTTTTTGAAAGCTGTTTGTAATCTAATTCATAATAAGTTTCTTTATTCCATGTTATAAAAATCTGTATGTGGATACTGTCCAAAGTGTCCTAAAAGTAATGATTGAATTCACAGTAACAAAAGTTACAAAGTTTGTGCAAAAGTTATTGTACACCATTGGGGTACATAGAGCTTGCTATAGTTAATTTTATATATAAAGCTGCATTTCTTGTTAAAACTATTCTGTGCTACATTAAAAGTAAGTTTCTGATTAATTTTTCTCTAGCAATAAAACTGAATGCTCATTTAAAAAACTATACTGTGCTACGTTAAAAGTAAGTTTCTGATTAATTTTTCTCTAGCAATAAAACTGAATGCTCATTTAATCTCATAAATCTGAAGATGCAAGTAACCCATACATGTTGTTTGTAAATGGTATAATCAATCATTGAAACTTCTTAAACACCATAATCATTTTGAAGTTCTTCAAGTTTTCCAAGGGTCATGAAGTAAACCCGGCTATGGCGATTCCGCAGGGTAGAGGTAAAGAACAGCTTTAAAAGGAGGAAAGACACCATGAGTAGCTTTGTAATACATTATAACCAAATATTTGCTAACTCAAACTCGTAAGTTACTACAATTTTGTCTGCTAATTAGAATATTAATCTTTTTGGTTGTCTTCAAATTAAGGAATAAGTCTAAATTACACCTTTAAAAACAAGCTTTGACCATATTCTGTATAATTGTAATCCAAATGGTTCAGATGAAATTAGTGTTTCTCTGTAAGGTGTCTGTCATTCAACTGCTACAGTTCTGGGTTAGCTGGATGCCTTCATCTTAGAGAAATACTAAATGTCTGAGGAGATTGATGTATTACTCAATAAACATGTATAATTTTTATAGGCTGCTAAAATTGTCCTTAATGTCTTTTAACATAAGGAAAAAGTTATTGTGATGTTATTTATGTTGGGGTGATTTAAAAAGACACTGGTGTTTTTGCAATGAATTAGACTGGCATGAACAGATTGACATAATGCATCAAAACAATGACTTAACAGTGACATTTTGTGTAAATATGCAATTACTTTTCTGTTTAAATCACTTGAATTAGTTGGTAAAACTGATGAAATCGCACAATTGGCAACCTTCAATTTTAATTTTCATTCCTGCAAATCAGTAATGCTGCCTACTTGTGAAGACAAAATTTAAAGTACCTGGACAAGGCCTATTTTGTAACAAGGTGCTCAATTAGCATAAAAACTTCTTTCTTCCATTATTGCATTAATGCTAAAATCTACAAAAGCCAGACTTGCTCAACCATTTTGTTTCAAGTGATTATTTTCACACAAAAAGGAACATGGATGAGAATGATAAGGGATTTTCTATTAAAATAAAAAGAATGGTTGAGCAATGCTTAAGACAGAGTCACTTTGTTTAGAAAAAGTTGTTTTTAAGTAAATCAAATGTCATCAGTTATCAAATCAATGTTTCTACTGCAAAAGATAAAATTGCTTTTGTCAATAGTATGTGTATTTGAGAAAAACAGAACAAAATATATTGATGGCCTGAAAGAAAATGTCCTGAATTTCCTTTGTTGATTTCCAATGTTAGTTTACAATTTGCTCTAAGTGGAGACTAAGCTTTACCTTGTCACCTCGGGTACAGAGAAATCTCAGCTTCTTAATTGACCTGCGCTTCAGCTCATTTTCCAGAACCTTTGGCTGCAAAGAGCGGGCTTCAATGGCCCTTTGACCCCATCCTGTGGTTCTCTGTGTACATTCATAAGCTACAACACAAAAGAAATAGAGAAACATAGAATCATCTCAGCAAAAAGTAATCAGTCAAGGGCTGATTACTAGGAAGCTCATTAATTAAAGTTTGGGTTAACACATCCTCCTGTCCCCACTTCTTTCTCTCTGGTCATTTTCTTACTCGGCATGGATATTCAAAAATCAGTTTAAAGCCACCATTGTGACAAACACCAAATTACCAGGTCAACATTAATGCTTGCATTCATATTTTCTAAGATCACAGAGAAAGTTAAGGGTTAATTCTTCTGAGTTAATAAGAATTTAAAGTTACCCACAAGCATCCTTTATTTCATAGTCTAGGTGAGGTACACTGCTCCTAATAAAGGTTCATTTTAAAGGGGTTTGCATTTGTATTTAAGTGACATATTTGGAAATCTGATTGATAAAAATTAAAAAATGTCAGAAAACGACTTGCTCAAATAATGACTGTAGCAGCTCCAATGCAATTCAATTAATTACTATGTTGTAAGCAGAGTTAAAGTTAATTTGATACTGTTAAGGCTTTTTGCCTCAGAAAAATTTTATTAACATTTTCACTTTTGGGGCCCCCATTTTATAATACTTTGTAACAATACGGATTACGACAAAAATTGCCTTAAAGCAGAAAACCTAATTATGTAAATACCCATACAGACAGCTGCTGCTGGAAGCTATTTTCTGGCACATGGAGCAGAATAATCACTAAAAGTTTAACTTACAAGTTGGTATTTTTTTACATGCTTTTTGGAGAAGAAAATTTCCATAAACAAATAAAGTCATGACATTTAAAACAAACCAAGATTTTGATTTAAGTTAAAATAGTTTCGGGGACAGCAAAATAAGGCACTTTAATTTCCATATTTATATGATTAAAATTAAAAATCATTGATTAATTTGACTTCTCATTTCCCTCTATTATACACAGGAAATAGACTCTGCTTTTATGTAATTACAATGTCAACTCCTAAAAGCTTATCTTTCTCAAAAGTTCTAGGATGTATTTGTTTAAACCAAAATTTACTTGGTTAAATCTATCTAAAGATACTCAGGGCAGAAAAAGTAAGCTTTCATACAAGTATCTTTTCCTAGGCATAGTGTGAGATGTTTTGGATCCCTCAACCAAAACTTGCTAAGCATTTACTATCTCCTGCTTTCTTTTATATTCTAAATTTAAAGTACTTACATGTTTGAAATTTAGATAAGAATTATAAATAAATCACTGTCATACTTTTCCTCACAAAAAAATGGCAGTTCTGGAAAAACTCTGTAAGTCCAATTTCAGAATACAATTACAATCACCCCAGTTGTAGGGGGAAAGAAGGAAAATCAGTGGCCTGAGTGATGGGACCAAGTAATATATTTAATTTATGTGGCTTTGAGTTTTTTCACTATTTTATTAAAAATGCTATTTCTGTCAAAAACACTGAACAAGACTTTGTAATCTTAATGCAAAGGTTACCTAAGTCCAAGTAACCAGCTCATTGTGTAATTTCTACCTTAGTCACAAAACACATAAACCTGCACTCAATCTAGCCACTGAGCTAGCTTGCTTTTCTTAAGAGGAGATGCAATGATTTGGAAGTGGGAGCACTTGGTAATATTTACTGCAATTATTAAGCCTCTACATATTTGGTTGAAATGCAGAACAATGATCTTATTAACAAATGTTTTATTGTTCAAAGAAACAAAATCTAGACTATGGAAGAATGGATATGGGCTAGCTTGAAATAATAACATAGTTGGTTTTATTTAAATTTCTTAAGAAGTAAAGGGAGGGAGAGAGAGTGAGAAGGGGGGAAAGAGAGAGAGAGAGAGAGAGAGAGAGAGAGAGAGAGAGAGAGGAGAGAGAGAGAGAGAGATCAAGAGCACTTGCATTGGCTGTTCACATCCCAAAGGGCTGCAATAGCCAAGGCTGAGTAGCAGAAGGCGGGAGCCAGGAATTCAGTCCAGGATTCCCATATGTTTGGCAGAGACCCAAGTACTTTGAGGTATCACCTGATGTCTTAGATTATGCATAAGCAGGGAGCCACAGTCAGGAATAGGTCTGGGACTGTAATCCAGGAACTCCAACATGGGATGTGAGAATCTTATTGTGTGCCCTAATTGGTTGGTTAAATGCCCAAACCACAAGTTGTTTTTAGATAGAAAACCAGAGTGAATAGTTTCCTTCAGTCATTAGTATACTTTGAAAATATTTCTAATATATAAAGTTTCAGATTCTTCTAGTGCTATAACTTATTATTCTTACAGGTGTCTGAAATTCCAGGAACTTGAAATAGCTTTTTGTTTTAGGTTAGAAGCTGTCCTGCCTAAGGTTAAGAATTGTACTTGATGGAGTGGCAAGATCTCTTCAACTCCTATGATTGATTGTTCTGTGGCATAAATATAGGTTTTGATCAGTTTATCTTGAGAGCTTATTTTTTTGCCTCATATTTCTGATTTACATATTGAACAAAAGTACCACAGCCAGGGTTAGGACACACTACATTATTTGTACTTTCTTTTGCCCCAGATCTGCTAGTGACACTGATCCTGTCATTTAAAATGGGCTTAAAGGTTGGTAAGTCAATAAGTTATTGCCTGTTTAAAGATTTTAAGTTTTCAGAGTACTGCATAACACTATGTATACAAAAATGATGCAAAATGTTGTAGGAAAAATGTTCCTTAAAACAGTTCTTTCAAACTCATCCTTTAAGCTCCTTCAACTCTTTGGTATTTTCCATGTGTACTGACCCCTCCCTAGAATCACCCATATCATGAAGCCTCAAAAACCTACAGAAGGATCTCAAATCAGTTTCTGATTTCCTAGCTCAGCAGTCCTGAGTTGGGGAGGAAGGAAAAAAAGTCCTGAACTGATGAAAACGGTAAGACAGTTTGCTCTACAGTGCCATCTGGGTGGTATCTCATTGGCATTCTAGTCAGGTACATTAATCTCTTTTCAAAATATTTGGTTCTTGTTTCTTTTAACACTTATTTATTTATTTGGAAATTCAGATATACAGAGAGGAGGGTAGACAGAGAGAAAGATCTGTCCTCTGATTCACTCTCCAAGTGGCTGCAATGGCCGGAGCTAGGCCGATCAGAAGCCAGGAGCCAGGAGCTTCTTTGGGCCTCCCACATGGGTGCAGGGTCCCAAGGCCTTGGGCCAAGCTCAAGTGCTTTCCCAGGCCACAGGCAAGGAGCTGGAGGGGAAGCAGGATCGCTGGGACATGAACCTGTGCCCACATGGGAGCCCAGCATGTGCAAGGTGAGGACCCCAATCACTAGGCTACTGCGCAGGGCCAAAAAAGATTTAGTTCTTCACTGGAGTCTTACTGAGAATACCACTGACTGTATCAAATAGATTGCTCTTCTTTTATTTGGCAGTTTGATAGGATAAAGGTAGATTCTGGACATCAATGTGACAGGAAAGAATTACTTTCACCATTTGTGTGAAGTCTGTAGCAAAGGGAGTTGAAAAACAAAATGACAGATTATTGTTGCAATGCACCCTACTTAAATTAGAAAATCACTTCGCGTGAAGAACTCAGAGAACCAAAGTTGGTCTCTTGGAGGTGTTGCTGAGATTTTATTAATCATATGATCAGCACTGTATCAACTTACTAAGAGGATAAACATGCAGGAGCCCACATTATCCCTACGTGCCTTGAGAGAATGTCATAATTCCAGAAGTCTTTATTTCAAACACACATTTTGTTCCTGAAAAGAGTTTCTGCAAAGAATGTAAACGAGTAAGCCACTGTATACCTACCTACAGAGGATGGGATGTCTTTCCACACTTCCAGAATCTTCTTGAAGAGCTGTTCATTGGCTTCCATGGAGAGGGTTTCAGCATTAAAGGTGAGCATCACGCCAATCCCCAAGCAGTTAGGCAAAATGATGATATTCTGTGATAGAATGATTTTCAGGGGCTGGAATTATGTTTCAGAAAGATCTCTATGTCCAACATTTTATCAATCTTTTAATAGAAGCAGCTTGGCTCCATAGTAAAGACCAAAAGAATTTCGAAGTACAGGGAAGACAAGAAACCTTTAGTTCCAAATTAAATAGCATGCTATCCAACATTTGGAAAGCATTGCCGGCCTTATGTCATAAATTCACTTTTTAATTTCCCCATGTATATTTAGGATAAAGCCTTATTTGTGAAAAGTAGACATATATTTCTAAGACAGATAAATCTCTTGGAATTTCTCACAGTATTATGGATAATTATAGAAGAAACATTCCTTGTTACTCCAATTTCAGATTCATTTAAGCACATTAAGAAATATTTTAGCACTGGATGTGTGAACCAAGTAGAAAATACACAATTCTTGGTTACCAGTAACTCATTCAGATCAGAAATAGAAAATTAATCTAAACATGGGTTTAGCTTAAAATGCTTGCAAAGGGCAGCTTTCCAATATCCTTCACAGCCTGGAATATAAGTCATGCTCTTTTTTGCAATCTATACAGTTACACACATATATGATTCCTTACTCAATTTATATAATCTTAAAATACATACAATACAAAATTCAGAGACATCACAGGAAATTTAAACTAACACCTAAGCATTTCTGAATTTCATGTTTCATAAAATAATGTGACCAAATTTTCTTAAACCGCAGATATTGTCACATTAACAGCATTTCCTTACAACACGACCTACTGTGTTCCTCTAGCATTTCTCCATTTAACAAGTTACAGGCAAACAGGTCAGAAACTATACTTGCCAAACCCAGCGCACTCAGGCCAAGTGCTTGAGGCCATGTCTCAGCAACAACAATCCTTAAAACTAAAATGGGGATCCAGAGGCGAAAAGCAATTTTAATGCGTTCCCTGGGCACTTGCATGAGCAACTGAATCAGAGAAGAGATGAAGCAGGAGAGGAAAAGAACTTGCAAGAAAAGTTGTCTCAATAAAATTGGTTTAAAAAAAAAAAAGGACTGCTGGAAATCCAGAGAGCCTGAGAGGTAATTTTCCTTCTGGTCAGATGATTCCTGGAGTAATCCGATATCCTTTCACACACATGGCTCCTTTGAATCATTGCAGCTTTTGTAATCTCGCACTCTTGGAAGGGTAGTATTTTTACAATGCTGTTTCAGGAGACACCCTCACCTCCCCTGTATTAGAGTCCTTTTTCTTTTAATGGGTCAAGACACTAGGGCATTTAGCTAAAAATATTTTTGAGGCTATGAATAATATTAGGTCAGAAAACAATTTTTAGAAACTCATCTCTCATTCTAGCCCTCACAGTAATTATCGGATTGTTGCAAAAGGAAGTTTTTTTTTTTCCTTATGAGTCAGGTGAAACTTAACTTAAATCTCTTAAAAGATCTTTCAAATAAGTATAAAATTAGACTGACAATGCCATATTCAATACCGCACTAGTTCCTAAATAAAGGCAGGATACATGATACACCACAAGAAAGACAGCAAGCAGGAAGCTAAGAAAGAGACTGATTGAGAAGTGCGATATTTACATCAAAAATCAATCTCCTATATAAGTGGGTTTCACTAGGATTCATTCTGTACTTTTCGGATTATACATTGATACATACATAATACACAGTAAATCATACACACATATATGAGTTATATTTATGTATATATATATGTATATATTTTTATATATACATATACGCACACACAGTCACTACTTGGGTGATTGCTAATATGCCTAAAATGTTTTACAGAAAATGTTACCATTATGGTTCTGACAATTGCTCCATGCAATTTTTTAGAAATGAGACTATTTTGAAATCTGTTCAAAAGATCACATGACTATAGCAATTAAAATGTGGATGTAAGTTGTTTTCTTGGAGTTTTTATATATTGCTAAACTGCTAAAATTTCAGTCATCTATATATTAGGGATTTTAAAACTGGATGAATTGGAGAAATATAGGTTCAAGTTTTTCAAATTAATTTTCTGTAGATTAGTAAGGTTTGAGTGTGCATGTGCATGTTTGTGTGTGTTTGTGGGTAAAGTCATGTTTGAGCTCTTAATGTAAATTATATGCATAGCATTTTACAATCATCTGTATGTTAAATGTTGTGACATAATGTCACGATTTATAACAATTTCAGAGTCAAGAATTGAGGTTCATGTGCTTTTAAAATTCTGAATCCTTTGAGCAGAAATTCCAACCATAACTGATAAGTTAGGAGAGCATTTAATGACATACTTTATATCACAGTTAAAGTAATACCAAGAGGGGGATTGTATATAATGTATAAAATTTAACATATAATAAACATTATATGTAATGTTTCTTAGAGGTGGAGAAGATCTAAAATAAGGACTTGCAAACTGAAATACTCCCTTGGGTCACTTATTGTAAATACATAAGGATGATGAGGGAATACAGAACATATATACCATCTAACAGGGGGCAGAAATGAATCAGCTATAGTTGATGATGTCCAGATAGAAATGTGGACTTAATGTCAGATTTATGAATAAAAGTATACACTGCAAGTGTAAAACTTTAAAATAGAAAAATGGGCTAGAAAAAGAAAATCCATCTTCAGAACAGAGTCAGCAGTCTGGACTACGATACTCAGTGATTTTTACTTATGCATGACCATTTTTTGACAGACTATACTTACCTTTATGTCTCAGGTCCAGTATAGATACTATTAATCATAGTTTCAAAACTTTCAGAGTTTTGACATTTGGAAAAACCCCAATAGTGGTATATAATGACTTCAAAGTATCTGAAGATATTATCTTACATTATTGGGCAGGTTCACATCAGACATAACCTCAGATTCTGCATCAATGATATGATAGCCATTTGCTGAGCTGAAGAAAATCTTCAGTTTTTTCTCAGATCCCACAGCCAAGTCAACTGTCACTGGCTTAAGACCAGATGTTGGAAATACCTGCAAATATAAAACCAAACATGGCCAAAAGGCCCAAAATGACATTCTGAATAAAGCCACACTTCCCTCTTTTTTTTTTCCTTTTCCTCCCCTGGCCAGGATAACAATTGCATAATACCCAAGTGAATCTTTTAAATGGCCTATTGTATTTTGAAATCTATGTATTACAACCTTTCTTATATCTGTTACTACCAAAATTATATAACTATATTCATGTTCTAAATGTTGAGCTGTATCTTCAAAGGTCCAATTGCCAATGATCCTAATAGCCTTTATGATCCTGCACTCTGCTGTTCTTAAATTTCTTGCCTTGAGCTTCAGCAAATGAAGGAGCTCATCTGGTCTCTTAAACCGGTTCGCTGGATCAGCTGCCTGTATTTTTGCCAGTATTCGTATATATGCTTCATAGGACATGTAGTCTCCTTCGGAGTCTGCTGATTGATCAATGCATACTTGGTAGGGAGTGAAAAACGCCAGACATGTTAACCTACTATTAACTGTGCATATTCTAGGCTCCTATGATTTCTATTCCAAAGAAACAAAAATTACAACAGGATTCACTGCCAAGATCAGGTCATGGTACAAGACTGAGCAACACAGGATTCACTACACTGTAGTTAGGAGGTGGGATTTCAAGAAGAGTGAGGACCTAGACTAGAACTGTGTTTCAGGCTACATAGACTGTTGGCATTTAGCTCTTTGCTTTCCAGCTCCATACCAGGTAGCTCTGACCAATCAGCAGACACCCAAGAATGAACCCATATCCAAATATTGACAGCTGACCCAAGGCCCAGTTAGGGAGATCAGATCAGGGATGTGAATTGGAACATGTGGACTCATGCAATCTGTATAGTAACCTATGCTATCTATAAAAGAACCTAGTTATGGTGCCACTACACATTGAGAGATAGTCCCCAAAATTAGCCTTTCTTTATTATATAAACATGATGTTTTCCCCTAAAAACATACTATGTAAAAAATCCTGACCCAAGATATGAAAGTATTTCATGAATAACTTGTAAGATGTGTATCTGTCTGAACTTTGCAGAACCTACTCAGACCAGTATCACCTGGAACATATGCTAAAAATACAGATTCTCAGGCCCCATCCCAGAGCCACTAAATCTGTCTGGGGTAAGGTCTGATATCTAACATTTTAACAAATACTCCAGCTGATTCTGTTGTACTTCCCAAGGTAGGAGCTACCGAACTTGATAAATTGCTCCCAGTTTATTAATGGTCCATCATTATTATGGAATAAATAAAAATTACTCTATTAAGTGCAATTAAGGAGCACTACACACTAATTTAGATACAAAAATTTCCTTATTTATGGAATGTGATTTAAAACAATCAATAACAGTTTAATTGTTGGGTTGCTCAATAGTTACCTTCCATAGCTGATCCACAGATGTACAGTTAAACAATAATACATGTAGCAAAAGTACAGTAAGCTTAGTTACCATACTTCACAACAATAGTTCTAGAAAAAAACATGTTTAGAGCTCCAGTTTGCAAGGAATGAATACTATTCCCTCCTTCCTGATCCACAGGTATTGTGGTTCTAGCAACTGCAGCAAAAACTGTCCTCTTCCTTCCTTTCTCTTCCAATGAGGCTTCATTGTCATACCTTTTCTTACATTCTCTTTTCTTGCTACCCACCCACTAAAAAAGAACAGGGACATTCTTGGCGTCAGGTCATTGGGGTAACACCCAGAACCTGTATTTGGGGTTCTAGCAGAGAAGATCTTCATGCTGATTATTGGGAGTGAGAAGCTGGTGGGAAATTCCTGTAAACAGAGGAGTCAGGGATTTCCCTGATATTTTCCCTTGCTCTGGTGTCTGTAAATTATCTAAAAGAGGGTTAAATAATAATTATTGACATTACATATTCAATTTGCATTAACTACTGAAGAATGATAGTAATTCTACATCCGCAATCCATGATACTATTACAGTTACAATCTCTTCTCAAAAGAAAAATTGTATGACCAAAAGGGGAAAAAGATCACTCACTTTAATAGCAGTGCTTTCATCAAAGGACTTTGGTGCCCACGCATAAAGATGAATTGATGATTTCAAAGCAATTGCAATGTATGTTGTTTCTTCATGTTGGACTACAATGATAAAATGCAAAGAAGTAACAATGCCACAAAACACTCAAGTATTTGTGTTTGTAACTGAAAATGTTGTGACCACAAGCACAGACCATACATATTTTAAAACCACTTGGTTTCATTTTGATGTCCACCAAAGCGATCAAATGGCTACAAAATTTTATGGGTTGTATGCATGAGCCTTCAAGAGCATTAAAAATCATACACTGAAAACTTGAGGAACAATGATTACAGAAATGAAAGAAGACATAAACGTTTAAAAAAACTTCCCATGTTCATGGATGGACAGACTTAAAATTGTTAATAAAGAGATAAGAATTGCTAAAGCAATTTCTACATATTCAATGTAATGCCTTGTAAAGTTTTAAGGGCCACTAATTATGGAAATGAACACAATAAACTTAATTTAATGTGGAATTGAAACAAGTTCTAAATAGTCAAATCAATCCTTAAAAATGAAAATCAATGTTGGAGGACTAACACTCCCTGATTTCAAATGTCCCTGTACATTGCAGTAAATGAAATGTTACAATACTAACATAAGGATACACATAAAGATCAATGGAAGAGAACTAAAGTCAATATGAAAAAATCTATGCTCAACTATACTAAGATTACTCCAAAGGGAAAGAAGTATCAAGGAATAGTGTTGGATAATTGCATATCCACAAAAAATCATAAATACTTAAACTCCTATCTCATAGCATGTATAAAACTAACTCAAAATGAATAAAAAATACTAAATGTAAGAGCTAAAATTGTAAAGCACTTAGAATGAACACAGGAATAAGTTTTGGATGATCGTCAATTTTGCATATTTCTGAATTTGATAACAAACGTAAAATGAGCAAAAGAAGCATTGTATTTCATCGAAATCAAAACTTTTGTACATAAAGGATAGCATCAAGTGAAAATAAAACCTATTAATTGGGAGAAAATACTTGTAAATCATATCTGATAAGGGTCTTGTATATAAAATATTTAAAGAGTGCTTACTATGGAACAACTAAATGACTAGACCAATCAATTAAAAATAGGCAAAGTTTTCAATAGTCACTCCTTTAAGGACAATATCTGAATGACCCGTAAGCACATGAAGAGGTACTCAACAATATTAATCATTAGGAAAATGGTACACTTCCCAGGATGGCTAGAATGAAAAGCCACCTACAAGAGTTCTCTTTATGAGTGGCAATGTGAAATGGTATAGCTACTTTGAAAAACAGTCTAGCTGCACTACTGAAAATAATATATATGTCCACATACAAAAAAGACGTACAAAACTGTCCACAGCAGCATTATTCCTAAAAGTCAAAATATGAAGAAAATGCAAATGCTCATCAACTCATGTATGGATTAAGAATGAATCTGACAACACAGTGATATGCAGCAATAAAATGGAAAACAATACATGATACAAAACAGATAAATCTTGAAAATATCATGTCAAAATAAGAAGTTTGACACAAAAGGCCACATAGTTTGCATTTCTGCATGTTACTTGTTCACAAGAAACAATTCTGTACAGAAAGAATGTAAATGAATAGAAGTAAAGATTTATGGGAGGAAGCAAAAAGAAGAGGAATGGAATTGGAAGTGGGGACTGATGATTATGGATTTCTGTGAGGGTAATGATGAAAACTAGATCATGGTTGGGGCTGATGCTGTGGAGTAGCAGGTAAAGCCAATGCCTGCAATGCCAGTTGAATTTGGTTAGAATTCCAGCTGCTCCATCTATGATATAACTCCCTGTTAATGTGCTTGAAAAAGAGATGGAGGATGGCACATGTACTTAGGTCCCTGCACCCACATGGGAGATGCGGAGGAAACACTTGGTTCTGGGTTTTTGGATTGGCCCAGTCCCAACCATTGAGGACATTAAAGGAGTGAACCAGAAGACAGAAGATCTCTCTGTTTCTGTTTCTCCCTATCTCTGTAACTTTGCTTTTCAAATAAATATACAAATCTTTTCATAGTGTATCATGTTGATGGTCACAGAACTCCATAAACATATTAACAGGAAATTGTGCACTTTTAATGGGTGTATTTTATGTGATGTAAATTATTTTAATAAGACCCATCTTTTGCTGAAAGAGTATAAAACATACATGCTTATTCTTAGCTAGTCCTTTTGGTCCTTACAGAACATGTTCTCTTATCTGATAATCCAAATATTTCAGCCTTCATAGGGTGGGATACTGTTTTGTACTCTCCAGGAAGTCTTCGTCTGTCTCTGAATCTCTTTCCCTCTCCCTCTGCCCTCCTTGTCTCCCTCACGTTTCCTCCCCCTCACTCCTGCTGTCTCTCAATCTAACTTGTTCTTATCCAATTACTTTCTTTTGCATTGTCCCACAGTAGGTCAAAGGAGCATGATTAGTAAGCTCTCAACAAGCACAGTAATTCTCTATTTGGCAAATTCTTCATATAAAGTTAATACAAGGCAGGAATTAGTTTGAGTCCACTGCCTTATGGGTCTTGGAAGGTTATTAAAATACCAGGCAAATAGGCTCCATTGCTATCCTTCTATGAGGAGATGGTGCTGTTTCAAATGTTTATGGGACAAGTTTTTGAAATCAGCCAGGAAAACAGGGCTTAATTAGTTCTTTCCTTTGGCAAGAGGACAGATTTGCAATATAGCTAGCTATCTTTATAACTATCTCTTCTCAAAAGAAAAATTTAAATTTAGTAGGAGGCAGTTCTGCTATATAAACTTCTGGATTAACATCCAGGGATAGCTTTCTCCTCTGGGGCTACCAAATTCACATAATATGGTTGGAAGAAAGCAGCAATATCTAAAACTAGCAGAGAGCAGGGTATTTAATGCTTATTGGATCTAAGCACTCATACTGTTCTGTAACGTTGTATATGTTCACATATACACCTGCAAAAACCCATCCTGGGAAAAAGTTACTTTATATGTGCAGAACAAAAGTGATCAGTCAGTATAGAAATGCCCTGTTACAGTTTATAGAATGTGATTCCTGTTATCGCCCATTTCCTCCTATGTCCTGAAGGGGCAGGTAGTGAAAAGGGAAAGAATATGAATGAGGCTAAGAGAAGAGGTGATTTGCTTTAGAAATCAAACACAATGGGTGGACATTAACTACATAGTCCTTAGCAGCTGAGAGCAGGATTGAGCGATCCTGGAGTAGTGGCTTCACTCCACAGTGAGGGTTGTGAAGACACAGATATGAAAGCACTCTAACCAAACAGAAAGTGATGAGAACTTGTTGCCATGCATATTGATAATAGGCACCAAAGTCAGCAGATCATAGGAGAATTTTCTTTTTGCATCATCATAATGCCTCTTGGTCAGTATTAAGAAGTATTCTTTGTTTCTGCAGTACCAAAGAAGGAGAAAATCATGAGTTGGGAGGCTGCTGAATATACACAAAGAACATGTATATATTTCAAGCTATACAGACAAATGCAGGACAGAAATATTGGCTTATTTGGAATTTTTAGGGTGACTGGAAGGCAGGAAAGTTGAGGAAGTGCTCAAATTTAATTTCATTAGCTATTTCAGTCAATATTTTCTCAATAACTGTCAAGAGTATAGCAATGAAAGACCTGGAAGTTACCTCAATGAAATCCACTCATTTCTGTATGTGAAGTTGCAAATTCTTTCCTTTTTCCATTTCATCATTCATAACCATGTACTTCACCAAATGAAGCAAACTATACATGTATAGCTATGTAAACACAAAAAGGGACTTACGGACACTGAAGTGCTCACAGCCTGTCAACTTATCAATGGCTTTGCAGGCCTCCTCAGTCTTCAGCATGTCCTCCTGTCTTTTTTTACTTTCTGGATCATTATTCAAAATCTTGTTTCTCAGCCAGGTCAAATGATACACTCGAAGTCTGTTCTTACGACCTGATAGACAGAATATTTCAATTCAATAATCCTTTTCATATATCAGAACAAAAGTGTAAGGGGATAGACTAGCATTGTGGCATAGTGGGTTAAGTCACCGCTTGTGATGCTGGTATGCTATTTCTGTTCCAGCTTCCTGCTAACATACATGGAAAGGCAGTGCAGGGATGATCCAAGTGGTTGGTTCCCTGCCCCCTCCCCTCACTCCATGTGGGAGATCAGGATGGATTTCTGGCTCCAGGCTTTGACCTGGCCACTACAGCCATTTGGGGAGTGAACCAGAAGGCAGAAGTTCACACATTCATTCTCTATGTTTCTTTCCCTCTTCCCACCCCATTGTATGTGTCTCCCTTTCCCTCTAATGTTGTGCCTTTCAAATAAATACATGTATAAATAAATAATTCATTTACAAACCAAAATTATTTTTCCTTTTTAATGAAATACTTGTATTAAACTAAAACAAAATAAATTTGAAAACTCACATTATATCAGATTCTCTTCAGAGTTTGGAAATGTGATAGTCAATTCTTTCTTAGGTTCTCATTTCAAACACAGTTAAGGTGTCTACCAGCTTCCTATGTGTCTATCCAAAATGTATCTAAGACATTTCTTTGGAACAGGTTAAGAATGCCTATACAGAGTAATCACAATTACCATTCCTTCATTATATCTTGGTGTTTTACTAAGTCACAAGCCTGCTGTGGTTCAGAACCTAGAAACTGTTTCTGGTAATGAGTGTATGAGAGGGATGGCTGAGCACTGAATTTTTGGATACTCACGGCAGCAGGATGGATCTCTTTGTACTGCCATTTTGGTAAGCTTCCAAAATGACTGGATAATTTTGTTGTATTTTACTCAGCCTAATTTACCTGTAATGTTAATTTTCTAATCGCAAATCTCATCAAATAATTACTATTTATAGGGAAAAATAGGCTATTATAATCTCAAATTTATCTTCCTTTACAGTGTCCACATGCATTTCTTTTAACCGCCTTTTGAGTTTGATATTATAAGATTTCTAGGCCGAACAGCAGGATTTTATTTGTTTATGCAAATGATTTTAATATGTTTTTATATATTTTCGAGTAGTATTAGGGTCCAGGAAACTAGGTTAATGGCCTTTTTATTCTTAATTGGTAACAATAGATTTTCACTTTAAACTATTGATATTTTATAATATTGCTGTTGTTAAAACTATTTCATGCTAAATGATCTAATGCTAAAAAAAAAAATTATCTATTTGAAAGGCAGAGCTACAGAGAAGGCCAGGGATAGACCAGGTGAAAGCCAGGAGCCGGGAACTCCATCTGGGTCTCCGATGGGTAGCAGCAGCCTAAGCAGTGGGCTTATGCTCCACTGCTTTCCCAGGTGCAATAACAAGGAGCTGGAGGGTAAGTGGAGTAGTTAGGATTCAAACAATTGCTCCTATGGTATGCTAGCATTATAAGCAGTGGCTTAATATGCAGTGCCACAACCTGGTCCGCAATTATTCACATGGAAGAGAAGTTTAAGCATTGAAGGAAACATTTGAGTTTTTTTTTTTTTTTAAAAAAAAGCTGCATAAAAAGTAAAGAAATCTGTTATCCAGATCTGTAGCATATAACTCATAAAGATGTTTCTGTGTAACTCTAAAAACTACAAATGAGTGATCATGAAACATTATGTCTTAGAGCATCCATCCATGTATGTGTATGCTTTTGTGATGAAACTTAGCCAGGGATAAGTCTCCTTTTATTCTTACTCCTTAAACATATCACAAGCAAGGTATAGGCTGGGTACTGGTGTCATTGTGTGTGTTCATGAGATGAGATTCAGAGCTATAAATTGTTGGAGGTTATTCTGAACAGATTCAACAAATATGTAAGTATATGGTTTATCTTACCATTTACCTACATTATGAACATCACAAAGGCAATTAGTTTAAATTGCAAAGAAATTCAGAGTAGGAATATCTGCTGTCCCAATTAAATGTTATATTTAAGTGTTCTGTTACGAACACTTTCACCTGAGAAAGTCTTTAACCCAGTTTGCAGCCTAATTAATCTGCATAATTATTCAGCTAATTTTAGTTCTTAAACAAACCAGAGATGGTAATCAGCAAATTGAGTGGCTCCACGACTTGAATCTGGCGGAAAGGTCTTCGCTTTATAAGTTTCATTATCTCTGCTTTTCCACTCCTGTCCATCAGATACAGACTGGATCTGGTTCCCAGCAGCAAATTGACTCCTGTTCATATATAAAGAGAAAAATGCTGTATTAGCTTAGATGTGTTTTGTAACTGTATTTATATTACTACTTTTCTATGCCAGTATGCTGAGTAATTTTTATCATTCTAAGCTAATGTAACCTCAATAATGTGTAAATTTATACCTTCCAACGATAGGGCAAATTTCACTGAAAAATAGGAAAATACAGAAGATAACACACGCTCTGGAAATACTCTACTGGCTGGTTTTTGGTAGGCCAATTAATAAACAGGATATCAAACCTATCTCATTTGTAGTACTCCAAACTTTATCAAAATCAATCAGCATTCTGAAAATCATCATTACACACTCTAAGTTGAGCATATACAAGGGAGTTAGTTTCTCCTTCCCAACAGTAACTTGTTTTTATGCTGTTAAAGGTTTTAATGCTGCTAAAAATAATTATATTTTAGGTTTTAATACTTTAGATTTTAATAATTATATTTTATGTTTTAAAATAATTATATGCAAATAACTTTCTCAAACTGAGTAATTCCATGTTAATAAAGGTATGTTTAAATTTTACAGAGGCTGCATGCATCTGGAATTATTTCCTTTGCTTCATGAATCTTAATTCCTACACTCCTGTTTATCTGTTGCCTGACTATTTAATACACACATTGTTTAAAGATTCAGTGAGAGGGCTACAACTGAGAATATAACTAAAGTTACAATACACTTCGAATCACTGTGGCAGTTTTTCACTGTGAGACACAGGTGATAATCAGTCAAAAAGGTGAACCCCTTGTTCTTTGTGGGCAAAAGGAGAAAAGAAAAATGCACCTGCCTTTGTTTTCCCAGCCTGTCCTCTAATTCTTAGCCAATGGCACTTTCAGAGACTTCATTTTCCTCTCAGAGGAGAGAAGAAAGGGAAGACAGCTGATTTCAACTATAATTTTTTATTTTAAAAAACACAAAACCACAAGTTCTCACTCATTAACTACATATCTAGGTAGTCAGCCCCACTGAAAGGTTAACACCATCTTGTTGTCTGATATGTTAAATTAGCAAAACTTTGAAGTTGGCAGGCATTCAACCTGCTCTAATTTTAGTTTAAAGTTCTGTGTCCTATTGATGCATACCTTAAGCAAAATCTATGAAAGTGTCAAGTCAAAGGTTACCATTTGCTTTGGATTTCTCTCTTCCTCATTTTCATTAATTCTACATCATTTAAAATAATTCAGACCAGCTTGGAGTAAAATACTGTCTCAGCACTGTCCATGTGGTTGTGTTTCTTATGAAACAAAGGATTAAAAAAGTCTATTAAAGCTAAGGTGTTATCAAAAGAACTTTTTTTTCCCTCTGGCAATCTATAACACTATTTCAAAAACAAGATCCTGCAGAAATCTTTCTTACAATGCCCTCATTAGGTATTGTATGCTGAACACAAGCCTAAATCAGAAATAAGTTCAAATGTCTAAATAATCACAATCTAGTCTAATTTTCTACTTTGGCCAAGCTAATTCATGTAAAAAACAAAAAGATAATCAAGTAAAGGTGGGACACAACAATTCAAACTTCAAGCTTCACTGAGTGAAAAAGTCAGCAAAGCCAATTCCAAGCAGAAGAATTACTATAAATACACTTTTTGTTTGATTGGTAATGGTTTGGTAAAAGCAAACACATGTTTTATGTCCATAATTTATCACACGTTTGCTACATAGGTTAAATGCATATATAAAAATATATAATATTATAATTATATTATATATTATATTATATTATATTATATATATTATATACATAATACATAAAACCTCTGTTTTAAGAAACCAAACTCACCCCACAGAGAACCACAGCAGATCTCAGAGGTGAATTCCTTCTCATACACATGGATTAGTGGTTTTTTACTTGCAGAGGAGACATAGCGTGGGTTGACATTGACTTCAGAGGGTCGCTTAGGTGGTTCCTCCGGAACTTCTACAAAGCCAGCATACACTGTGAAGAAGAGGGAAATTAGGAGAGAAATTAGGAGTCTTTGCACTATATAAGTGCTTTATCGTAGTTACACATGTGACACAGTCTAGCCTTATTCAGCTGTCAGATAACATACAGCATACAGTCAACACCATGCATTCAACACATATGCATAAAATATATATGGGGCGACAGTTAAGATGCTGCCTGGGATATCTTCATCCTATAGCATAGGACCTAGGCTTGAGACCTAGCTCTGCTCCTGGTTCCAGCTTTCTGCCAATGTGCACCCTGAGAGCCAGTAGGTGATGACTCAAATACTTGGGTCACTGCCAGTCACGTGGAGAACCTGGAACCTGGAATGAGTTCCAGGTTCCTGGCTTCAGCTTGCCCAGACATGTGTGCTACAAGCAAATGGAAAACTCTCTCTCTCTGTTCTTCCATCCCTCTCCCTCCCACTTTTAGTGTCTGTATCTCAGTCTCTCTCTCTTTTTTTTTAAAGATTTATTTTTATTATTATTTTTTTTATTGGAAAGGCGGATATACAGAGAGGAGAGACAGAGAGGAAGATCTTCCGTCCGATGATTCACTCCCCAAGTGAGCGCAACGGGCCGATACTATGCCGATCCGAAGCCAGGAGCCTCTTCCGGGTCTCCCACGCGGGTGCAGGTTCCCAAAGCCTTGGGCTGTCCTCGACTGCTTTCCCAGGCCACAGGCAGGGAGCTGGAAGGGAAGCGGGGCTGCAGGGATTAGAACCGGCGCCCATATGGGATCCCGGGCGTGCAAGGCGAGGACCTTTAACCACTTGCGCCACCGTGCCGGGCCCCTCAGTCTCTCTTAAATAAATGAAAACCCAAATAAATACTGCTTATAGCCCTTGCCTATATTCCTGCTAAATTCTATTCTTTTTACTTTTGGTTGGTTAAATTCTATTTAGTGAGCACAAAGCCTTAGACTATACTGTAAATTAAAAGGTTATCTAAAAAATTTTAAAACTACATAAGTGAATGTGAATATATTTTAAGGTACTATGATTATAATTTTAAAAAATGAAAACCAAGGTGAGGGATTCAACTTTTCAGTTGTAGCTTCAATTTAGGTACAATAAAAATTCAGCGGGACATAGATCTTTAAAGATTATTTTATTCATTAAAGAGAGAGAAGCAAGACAAAAATTTTTCTGAGATATCAAATAATATCCATTGTTTTATTCTCCAAATGTGAACGCAAAGGACACAGCTACTGGAGACACCATCTGCTGCCTCCAAGGTTACCCACTAACAGAAAACTAGAATCAGGAGCAGAGCTGCAACTCAGGAACTCCAATGTGTGATGTAGATGTCCCAACTAGTGACTTAAGCATTAGGCTAAGCCTTTGTTGCAGAAGTAGATTTGAAGCATATATCAAGCTAAAATTATGTCAACTGAGCATCAGAATGGATTTATTTCTTCTTTATCATGAACCGGTGGCAAATAGTATTTCACATGCAAGCAGGCAGCAGCCCTTAGAGGTTATATTAAATACACTTACAAATGGAACTGGCAAAATCAGTATCAACAGATCCTTCAGAACCTCTTGAAGCAGATGAAGGGCTGGCAGAAAATCCGGACAGTGTCGATGATTCTGATATGTCCTTATTCTCATCCTCATCATCAAGCTCTGAGAGCGCAGCACCCGAGGCAATGGCACAGGCAGCCTCATTTTCGCCATCGAACCCCTACAAGAAAATCCAAAACTGATTTTCTTAAGAAGTCAATAGTGAAATGAATAACCCTAGGGGTCATTTGAAAAAGAGAACACAGAATCCTAACAGCTCTATTCTTATAAAGTTGACACTTAGTAGAAAAACTATGTCCTCAGAAGAGAAAGAACTAAACTACTATGGAGTCAACTGATGCCAGAGGACAAATGCAGTGAGCTCCAAGTCCCTAAGTATACATTTTAGAACCTAACATTTGTGAAATATTTACCATATACCAGATACCATGCTAGACATCTAATTTATATATCTTCCCAAATCTTTGCCACAACTAAGTAACTATAATTCCCTCAAATTTCCTTATGAGGAAGCCAAACTTCAGAGAAGTTAAACACTGCATTCAAGATCAGAGAGCTATTAAGTAATAGAATCAGAATTTGAAGGCAAAATGTTTTTCTAAAGCATATATTCAGCTGCACTATGACAAATGGCCACATGAAAAACTGAAAGGCCCAGTGTGAGAGTATCTGTCCCACTGCTTTAAGATACATTTATGCAACTGGAAGCATTAAAAACCTGCAAGGAGAATACTCAAATGACAAAGCCCATGGCGCAAAATCAAATGACACCAATTCAACACTGCAAATAGCCTTCATTAAAGTCTAGCCTGCTACCGCTATCTTAAAGAGAAAATGCTCAAGGATAAAACCACAAAGTGTGACCATTTATTTGGTATGCCATAACATGTGAGAAAATGTGCCAACTTTTTTTGGTAAATTTATCTATTGAGATTTTCTTTGTATCTAGACAGTTATTTTTAGCACTGAGAATTGTGCCACCCTTTCAGATACGGTTTTGTGTGACCTTTCCAAAGATAAAAGCCTGGTATGGTATCACGTCCCTTTGAAATCTGAACAAAAACAAGATCCATCTATTCTGTCAATTTCCTAAATTTTCCTTATGATAACTTGAGATACTCAAGAGTGCTATGAAACATGGTTGGATCGTTCCATTTTATCTTTAATTAAACAGACATGTAGATGATGAACCTACATGAAGTATCTTTAAAAATATCATGAAAAATAAACTTTGTGGAAAACCCATGCATGTACCTCATAATTTTTGCATAAAATCATTTTCATTCCTCTTTCCATGAGCTATTTGAAGCACTCTTAGAGATAGATGATCCACAGACAGACAGGTGAACAGATACAGGGACAGATATATACTTTCCCACCTATGCTAACTTCCCAGTAGATATGTATTTAAGGGAATTTGTATTTGTCAATTGAAAATTTTTGGTTTCTTTCATAATTGCTGTATGTATGACATAGGCCAGTCCTTAGGCTATGCTTTGACTCTGGGCAAGCTGATAGAAAAATAATGAAAGGCCACTAGACATAATTCTTCTTTTTAAAGTATTTATACTCAAGTGTACCCAGAAAATCAAGCAAATAAATAAATTACAATGTTGTGAGTACTAAAATGATACTATGGGAACCTACAGGAATACTGTACCTCATGAATATGTGCAATTAATATGTATTAGCTTTGTTTTTAAAATATTCCCAGAAAACATGTGGGTATGTTCTGAGATATTACCCCAGTCATGAAATCTAAGTAATATAGGCAAAAAGGTTTTGTTTCTGAAAGTCAAGAGGAACCATTCAAATGAGAATTGTACAGCTCTATCTACTATACCTATAATTAAAATTGTTTAAAGTTTTGGTGTAGAAGCTTAAAATGTAGCTGGAATAGTTTGAAATGTTATATATCTTATGGTGAAACATTCACAATCAAGGGACTTCATTTCCTTTTCAAATGGTACATTATCTCCTGTTGATGTTCAGATTCTGGGATCATGTCTCTAAGCAATTCTGTCCTTCACTGAGTTCAAATGGCTCCACTCTTTTCCTTAGTTCCACTGTCTCCTTTTTCTACATTCTCCCTGCTGCCTTTTCCACCACCTTTATTGACTCCATATACTTTCTAGTGTCCAAATGGCTGCACTGACCTCACAGAATGCACTTGCTCCACGGCTTCTATTGGCTCTACGGGTTCCACAGCCACGGACGGCTCCTTCATTTCCATCATAACCATCTTCTTCATTGTATCCATCTCTGCCATAGCCTTCCCTGAAAATAAGCTCCAATTAATGAAAGAAATCCACCCAATAAAATGCGTATGGAAGTTTACAAATGAAACAGGATTCGTTTTTATCTTACACATGTCTACCATGTCCAATATGGACACTACTGGTACAATACAGACAAGAAAAATGCCCCAAATGTCTTGTCGGTGTTACATGTCAAATTAAACAGTATTGCCCCCATCAATTCTTTGACTGCACTGGGATGGCACACGGAACAAAATGAGGATTCTCTGGGAGGTAAATATGTTAGATTAGTATCAAGAACATATATTTTGTTTTAAACAATAGATTCTTCATGCATTAGCAACTTTACAGCCACATGAATGATCAAGCCCATATTTTTGGCTCAAGCACAACATACTTAAATCATCTTTGCAATATATACAGTTTGTGTTAAGTATAACATCTGCTGCAAGTTTCTAACTATGTATCAAATGCTTTGTCACAGAATACCATTGGTCTACTACTCCCACAAGGAAGTTCAGTAATAAAGGCTTCATGGATTATACAGCTAAATAGTCATTTGATTAGTTGCTAAAAACCCTCAGCTTAACAAAATGCCTGAATGATTTCTTTTCATAAGAGACAACATTAAGCATATGTTTCTGTGGTGATTCTAAAAGCAAAATATTTGACAATGGATTTCTTGGTTAAGTTTTTAGGCTAGAAAAAAAACAGCTCTTGAAAATTTCTCCTCCAATTAAGCTGGATAAAGTAATAGATTATATACATAATGATAACCCAACTGTTTGAGAAATCTGAATTATGTTCACATATAGCCGGGCTTTATTTTAAGATCAATAAGAAGTATACTTTTCACCTTGTTTCTCACAGTTGCTGTGGTTTTACAGGGTTTAATGATTCAGTGGCATTAATTTCAAATTAAACATCCAGTTACAGTTATGATAAAACTATCCAAACCCTTAAATATTAATAAAAATAGTAATAAATAACGAAAATTTAAGTGTTGTACATTTGAAAAATTTAAAATTGTTGACAATCAAATAACAAACCAAATACAGGCCTAATTCCTCCACCTTCTTCATATGGAATTTTAAAAATAATTATTCAGATAATTCTGAAATAATAAAACATTCATAGTATAAGTAATTCAGGAAAACCAACCTTGGCCAAACATGAGCATCATTATCCTGATCACTATCTCTGCCACTGGCATGGCCATAGGAATCTTCATAAGCATCATAATCACCATCTGCACCAGCAGCAGCGTCATAGAGTTCAACATAATCACCATCCTCTTCAGGTGGCTGGACGGCAGGTGCAGGGATTAACCAATCATTCCGGAAGATTTCAGAGAGTGCATTGTAGCCCACCCATTCATTTGTCAAGTACACAGGAGGTGAGATTTTTCCTACTTTAAATCCATCCGGAACCTGTGTGCACAAGAAACATTAATGTAGTCTTGAGTATGCTTTCATTTTCTTCTACATTGGAAAGTTCCCAAGTTCGCACCATTTTCCAATATATTTTCTTCTTCAATTGATTGACTAATTGATTGATTTTATGAGACAGTTCCAAAGGTTCTGGGATTTACAATAAATTTTCAATAGAAAAAAATGTCCATTCACTAAATAAAGTCAATAATTTATTGATGATGAGTGCCAAAACCCAAACATCAGACTGTAACTGTTAATGGTACTTTTATATTATAAAGAGAAAAATTGACTAACTTTGTGTCTTTTATACCCATACTTGTTATAGGAGGAATAAACATTTGCTTTTGATGCTAGAGAATAGAACATGTGATCTTATCCTCTAGCGACATAGCCATTCTTTTGTTTTATCCCCTCACATTGAGATGAATACAATGCTCTTGAAATGGTTTTACACGCTATAGATTTCTTAAAGTATCCCAAATACTTCCACACAACAAATAAATGTAAACCCCACATTTTAATTGCAATAGGTGTTATATTGCAAGTTTGGGGCAAGTGGAGATTGATTTGTGTACAGTAGGACAGGTAAATATTACAAAAGTAAAATTAGAATGGTTAGCAATTGCCAAATGTGTTGAAAGACATTTTTAAGTTTACACAATCAAAGGATACTTCACTTTTCAGCAATGTTTCATTTTTATGTACTGTCTCTTCACCTAAGATATGCTGTTAAACAACAATGGAGCATCTCAGCTCTACCCTTAATTTAAGATTAGCTTCTACAAATAATTCCCTAGCGTCTTTCTAAAATATGTTCTAGCTGGCATCCAATGTAAAAATAAAATGTCTGACTAATTAAAAGCTTTCTTATTTCAAATATAACTTCCAGATTTCATATCCCATACATTAACACATCCTACAGAGATTAATAATAATAATAAAAGAAACCAAATGTCTTTAACCATTCTTAACTGAAACTGAGCATTCAGAAATCAAAACCAATTGAGAATGAGAAAAAGCAGGCAAAAAGTTGTTAAGATGAAAACCTACATGAACATCAATCAGCAACTTTTGATCAATGGTAGAATAAGGTGGGGATGACTGGGATCTCCTCCCGGTCACAGGACTATCTTCCTCAGAAGAAGATTCTATGGAATATCAGAAACACATTAGTAACACTGGTGATTACAGATATTGCATTCTCTTGTAGAGTTAACCAGTTTAATACCACATTTTCCTTGCAGTCTCTGTGATTTCATTTAGGAAATATCATCTGGTAAGATCTCACAGCACCACTTCCTGTTTTCAGGGATAGTAGCAGGCTCATCTGTTACATCTGTAAAGCTGCATGGATTTTCTGCTTGCACAATTAGGTGTACACTTGTTAAATATTGTAAGAAGATAAACAGCAGTATGGGAGGATGAGCAGATCCTCTTAAACAATGAATGTACAAAGGACAGCAAAACATGAGAGTATCACTTGTTTCATGTATTAACCAGCAAAGTCCAACAGATGGTATTAGAAGATGATGACTCAACAAAACTCTTGAGAGAGGAGTTGATTCTGTAATCTGGACCTTCCAATTTCTATACAATGTTATACACTCAAGTTGAACAGTGAATTACTGAAAATAGACAAAACATACACTCATTTTTATATAAAGTTGAGAATATTTCTGTATCAGTGTTGTACACTAGAACTGTCTGCAGTGATGGACACTTTCTATGTCTGAACTTTGCATATGGTAGTCACTGATCATCCATGACTATGAACTATTTGAAATGTAGTCAGTATACCTGATGAATTGACTTACTAAACTTCATTTCATTTTCTTCTCTTGTTTCCATTTTAAAAGCCACATGTTCCTGCTGGTGATCACTATGGACAACTCACTATACGCTCCAGGCATTTTAATTTGAAAAGCACATTCTTTTGATCTGCAATGCTAGTTTTTGACACTGAGTTGTGGTATGGCAATTAGTGCCTGTGGTTCGAACCAGGTGAGAATATTTAACAGGTTCCAACATCATTAAGTCTAGATGAATGTGCCTGGAAAAAGTATCACCGAAGGAACACTTAGCTCCTTTTTGATTGTTTTTATGTGCTTGGACTGGAAAGATAAATACTACCATTCCTCTTCTTTTTCCAACCTTGTTGTACATAGTTGAAGAGCAGACCTAACAACTGCCAAAATGAGTAACTTGTAAAACACTGCTGTCATCTGAGAACATTACACTGAACACATCTTACAATCTGGGTGCCTATCTCCCAGCACTGTTGTACTTTTCTCACTATTTTTCTGCAGAAAACCATTTTCTCTTAGGCCTTTGGGTGTACGTTAGCATATAAATAAGAAATTCAGGTGAGTATTCTGAGATCCTGAGGCAAATCTGTAGCAAGGTGTTCTGATGCAACCCATAATGAAGCATGTAATGAAATGTCATGAGATCTCAAATGATCTACATGGTAGCCATATCACTGAATTTTAGAGCTCACACAAGTTCACGATTATCTGCACAGATGCTATTCCCTTATTCCTCCTGTTAATGTTCAGATTGCTTTGGGCGGTCTAATCTAGAATTTTCTTAAATTTTTATTAGTTAGATCATCATTAGAAAAATTATCCTTCACTGAAATGGAAAAACAGGTGTCTGGGGAAAAAATTCCTTCACTCATTTCTCATAACAGTATTTATGCTCAGGACACGCTGCTATTTAAAATAATTCTGCCTTAATCTCTTAGTAATAAGACTTGTGATCATGTGTAGGAATATTCAGTTTTGGTAAAGTCTGTATATCCATTTCCTATTCATGACATTGTAATAAAATCTACATCTTACATTTTTGCAGATGGCTCACAAACTCCATCAAGCATTTTTCCTTTACATAACTTATTCAGATTGTTTGAAACTACTAAATGCTAAATTCCAGGTTTGGGGATCCAAGGCACAAGTTTTGGTTTGCTGATCCTAATATTTTACACATCTTCAATTCATTTAAGTTCTCTCAAAACCACATCTTAAACACACTAGTTTGAAATTCATATTTTAACTTATAAAGTTAGTCTATAATACTTTATTAATTTTCAGGCATTCTGGGAAAAGGCATCAGTTTGTAACTACTGGATATATCATATTTTGGGATGATAAGATAAAAAATTATAAATTATAAAATTATAAAATTATAAAAAATTATAAATAAAACATAACTACTCCACACAATATTCTAAGGTTTTGTGTGTGTGTATATATATATATATATATATAATTGGAAAGACCCCTTTCAAATTGTTTTTCTGTATTTTTCTCACCTGGTTTAGCAATGAAATAAAGTTGACCCTCTTGCCTCCCTAGATACATTCTTATCTACCACCCAAACAAAAGAAGAATCCATAAAAATTGTTTTCCATTTGTCAAAGATCAACTCTGAGCACACAATTGCCAAATCCAGTGGCCTTTTGCTCCTAATCCTGCTTGGACCCCCTGACACTGTTGATTCATTCTTTCTTGAAATTCTCCATCCTTGACTTCTGAAATACAAACTGTTAAATATTAGCTCTGTATTTTGACTTTGGAAACCTTGTGCTGTGAATCACCTGATGCTGCTGCTTGGCGATTATGAGGGTTTTGTGCACTCCTTCCTCTGATTTCAACTTGCTTCCGAGCTTCTTCCTCAAGAGACAGCTGAAGCACACTAATGAAAAGAGAAAAGAATGTGCCATGGCCTCACAGGGAAACACACAACTCAACAGAAAGAACGTTTTGTTTAAATATACAGGTACATTGCAATCAGAAAAGTACAATTTAACTATTTTTTCCCAGCTTTCATTTCCCATAACTTGGCATTTTATCTAAAACAGAGAAACAATAAACAATATATAGGTATAAGAAACATATTTCCATGTAATGCATGATTTCTTTAATATTATATTTATTCTAAAAATTCCTACAACAATCCTTTAATATTCAGAGAGTAACCTTACCTGTGTAATAGACCAGTAAACATAATTTTATAGTGAATGTAAATTTTTTAACACACAAAATGCATCGTAACTGTTATATCACACAATCTGGTATTATTAATCTGACTTTAGATTCATGAAGTTAATGTTTTATGTCCAGTTCCTAATGTACATAGACAACTGGACACGAAAGGTAGATTATTTTACTCTTTAAATTGAAAGACCAACAAAAAAAATGGATCTGGACTACACTACTACATTTTATAGTCACTGTGGAATTTTTACATGGGAAAAAGTTTGGTCATTGTTTAGACCTGGAGCAGACAAAAGTGTTCTCTATGACCCCTAAATTCCAAGAACAACTCGAGCTTCATTTAAATTAATTTTATAAGCGTATTCATATTTAAAATCAATTCATTTGCTATTCATAAACTTAAAATTGCTTCTGTAAAGTGAATAACCATTCCTAGTTTAACACTAGGATTAGTTTTATATGTTGGATTTTATTAAAGCTCTTTTCCAAGATACCAACGACTACTACTCAAAATTATTTCCTTCATTTTGAGGTCAGGAGGACCATGCCAACTTATTTTTTTGAATGCAAAATAAAAGAAAGTTCCCAGCCTTGCTTTCCATTTTTTGAGGATTTCTATAAACCAGTAAAATCAGTAAAATCTGAGGATTTAAATAAGTGTGGTTGTAAAAAAATTACTGAGGAATATATATACTGCATAATATCAGTCATATAACCATTGGATCATACTGTCCAATATCCTGCCTGAGTTTAGTGAGTATTCAAAAATATTTACTGAGTGGCTTGTTAATCTATATCTTTTCTATTTTGAATTGGAATTGGAGCGGATGTGCATTTAGAAGGAAATATATTTTAACACTGAGACTACAAAACACATTTCTTACTTTATCTAAAATATGGAATTGATTTTTGAAAATAATTGAAGATCTCCATTATAATCTATAATATAAATCCAAGTAACTTGTGCAGATATTACATACGATATTTTGCTGATATAATATGGTGTTTTAAATTTGATTTTGGTCATAGGTAATTTTCAGGTTTGTTAATTTGCTGCATTAATTTGTGAGATTGGGGTAATTTGTACGTAATTTTACTATGGGGTAATTTTACTATGTGGCACATGCAAAAAAGTCACTTGAAAACCCACATCTTTTTATCTACTAGAATTATTAACTAAACTTTAATAAAGAAGTCGTTGTCATTGTTTCTTTTAAAAAGATTTACTTATTTACTTGAAGGGCAGAGTTTGAGACATTATCTCACTGCTAGTTCATTACCCAAATGACCACAATGGCCAGGCACAACCCGGGAGCCTGTAACTCTATTTGGCCTTCCACATGAGTACCAGTGGCTCAAGCACTTGAGCCATTATCTGCTGCTTTCCCAGGTACATTTGCAGGGAGCTGAACTTGAATCCCTGCTCACCTGGAATACTGGTTTAACTAACTGCACTTCCTCACTTGTTCCCTCCCTCTCTCACCTCCTCCATGCCTTTCTCTTTTCCTTCATGCCTTCCTTTCTTTCCTCTGGACTCTTACTAGCTGATTCTCATACAGTGATTACAGTATGACCAAATACGAAAATTTGGCTAATGAATCTTTGCAGTTAAGGTTTTAAATGTGTGCCAATGATGCAAATGCTGATTTTTAGTTTTGATCTTACAAAGAAGTGTCAAGGAAACAAAGTTGAATTTCCCATGTGATAATTAATCATGAGTAATTTGAATATAGAAAACAGAGATGCATACCTGGAAGAGAACTTGACACGGTGTGCACGATCCTGGTGGCAAGGCCCAGCCACAGGTCTCTCTTGGACCTTAAAGACAAAATGCAGTACTTAGCTTTTGAGAAAAAAATCTTCCTTCACATATGTTTTCCTAGTAAGCCAGCTAATAAATATGATTTTCATAAATATTAGGGTACTTCAAAAAGTTTCTGGAAATGTAGAGTGAAAAGACAAGTTCATTTTGGTGCAAAAGATTTTGTAAATCCATGTATAGTTTTTTTTTTCCTTTTTCCTAATACATACTTTACATGGACTTTTCAAAGACTCACTGTAATACTATATCTATATTTACTAATTGTATATCACTAGAACTGCTTATCCATAATTCCTGATGCTGTATTTTAATTTTTCTATAGGAGTGGATTCTGGAGAGAATACAATCAAAGAAACCCATTTATTTTTGAGGAATCCATCATCCAGAAAAGCATGATGACTCCTCTAAGAATTTTACACCATGTTGAAGGAACATCTAAAATAAGAATGCAGATTTATTGGCTCCTGATTTAATGCTATTTCCATGTTATCACATTGTTTCTTTTTCTAAAATAATCAGAATTTAAAAATTTAAGTCTAAAGCCCTATTTTAAGGTAACCCTAGATTTTCTAATCTTTCTACACATGCATATAAACATCATTAAATGCTATTGAAGTCCAAGCTGTCCAACCTAAGTACGTTTTTTTCCATGTTACAATTCAACTATCCTTTTATTAGTATTCTAATTTAATGAAATCAATTAATTTGGATGTAAATAACATCATTTGATACACCAAAACTCATAAGTAAAAGGAAGTACAGCAAGGCAGCTTCTTTCTACCAGTGGGGCAGTTACTTTCTGCTAACATTGGCAGGCAAGGTGCTACCTGGAGTACCGTCTTGCCTCACTGAGTTTTATATCACCAAGTTTGCATTTACAGTTGCTTTTAGCTGCTAGAAAACAAGAGTCATTCTGACATGCAACAAAACAGTCACATTAGATTCTTTAAATATTTCAATATGGTGCACTTTTAAAAACTGTCTAGTATTTTCATGTTGAATAAAGCACTATATGGTTTCTAAAAACTATACTGGCCTCAGAGCACTATTTTTTTTTTATAAGGAAACCTATCCAGACTATTTTTATTCCCTATCAGAGAAGTGAGAAATTAAAAATGTCAATATTTCCCACTTCACTAATGAGTTTTTTTCAAATATAATCAGATGTTTGGCAGTATCTAGGATACTGAAGTTTTTATGCTTCTAGTTCAGATAACTGGCATCATATTGATCCAATCTAGATCACTTGGCTTAGGAAGCCGATTTCAGGAAAGTGTTTGGTAATAGTAAATCATTTTCTGATTATGGTAATAGTTATTACCTTAAGGTATAAGTAAAGTGAGTTACTAAGGAAGAGAGACAGACACATTTCCTCTTCTCATTAAATAACAACACAGCTTAGCTTCCTTCTGCTAATTAACCAAGAATAAATTATACGGAGTCTTCCTTACATGTATATAAGAAACCAGCCTTAACTCATATGCCTCAAATAAAATAACAGATAACAGACTGAATGCAGAAATAGATGCAAGAATTCAGCTGTTTGCTGACTAAACTGGTCAGCAAAATTACAAAATGATATCATCTTTAATTTTTAGTGAAAAATACAGTTGTCTCATTAAAAAACTTATAGTTGTACTGATTTTTAAATGACTTCATAAATATTTTCATTTTTTGTTTTAATACATTAAATATTGAGTGACACAAGCCATGTAATAAATAAGTGCTTTTTTGGAATGTTCAGTATTGAAGAGTATTAAGAAATCTTGAGACACAAATGTTTAAGAAGCAATGTTTTAGGAACTTACATGTGACAGAAAGTCATGCTGAGAAATTTACCTCATTATCTCTAGGATCTGGAACATCTGGCTGTAATGGTTCTACTTGAACTTCAGCCTGAATTGAATGAAATACTTCATCATTGTCTGATGATTCATCTTCTTTGTCCTTTGAACAAGGAATAAAATACTTTTAAATTGTTTAAAGTCAAATTACAGGATGAACTCCATCATCCTAAAATATAATTTAAAAGAATAATTTCTAAATATTAAAAATGCTTTAAACCAGTAGTTTCTTTCTAATAGTCCCAGGACACTCAGAATCCAAGGAATGCTACAACTCATTCATAGAAAACTCCATACACCCACACATATTTGTATATACTTTTTAATGAGTATAGTTTATTTACTAATGCTCATTTATACAGTGCAGGTTAAAGATATCTGATCTATAGAGTGGGAGCTTGGCCTACTGGTTAAAACACAGATTACTGGTGTTGCGGCACAGTGGATTAAAGTCACTGTCTTGCAATGCCAGCATCACATATGGGCTGCTCCACTTGAAATTCTGCTCCCTGACAATGTGCCTGAGAAAGCAATGAAACATGGCCCAAGTGAGTCCCTGCCACCCAAGCAGCAGACAGGGAAGAATTCCAGGATTCAGCCAGGCACAGCCCTAGATATAATGTCTATGTGAAGCATGAATCCACAAATAGGTCTCTCTCTCTCTGTCTTTCAAACAAAACAATAAACTTTTAATAAAATGACAGATTATAATAAAAATCAAATACACATATCTTTTATTTTAATTAAAAAGTCATTTAATATATAAAATACTCAACATTATCCCTACACCAAAATAATACCTAATTAAATATCCCAATTCCTATCCTCTCCCCCTCAAACACACAATAACACACAAACAAAAAACCCACCCACCACAACAAACCCCCCACAACTAACCCCTAATCTACCACCCATAAAACCAACACCACCAACCACAACCTAACAACACATCCCCCTACTACAACTTCTCACCTCACCAATAATTACTATTCCCTCATAACACCACCATCCCCTACACCCCACCCACACCCAAACCCACCCCAAAACCCCCCACACCTCCCACACCTACCAACCCCAACACACACAACCCACAACACCCCCACAAACACACCACACCCACCCAAACCACACCCCCCCCCACTCACCCACCACCCTCCACACCACACACTACCACACCACCCCCCAAACATCCCCCACCCCTACCACACTCACCCCACACAACCCCACCACAACCACCACACACCAACACCCCACACCCCCAACCAACCACCCCACACAACCCACAACCAACCCCACCACCCACCCAACCCCACCACACCCCACACCACCAACCCCCCACTCACCCCCCACACAAAATCATACCACCGACCTACTCCAATCTAATTAACTCTAACTACTAATCATCTCATCCCGCACACTACCAACTACTAACTACAACCACATATATACCTCTCCCTACCCATACAAAATCCAAAGACCAATTACCTTACTAGCTAACACTTTCATTCTCTAACAACCTCATCTTAGTATTAGTGTCAGACGTCCCAACACCTCCTGCAAGCAAGGATACCCCACCCCCCCGTCCAGCCCGATTATCCATTTCTCCTACACCTACAGATGTGATATATATATGGTGCATTATCCCATCACAACTGGGTCCTCTAAGCTACAACACCGTACTGGTATTCAAGCACACAAATACTAAGTCGCAGTCTATTATATTTCTCCTTAGGAAAGAAAAACCCCACCGTGTGTAGATGTAATGGTATTTATCTGTTTATGTAGAAGAGCAAGGTCTGTGAGCGCTTGCCACGCCCGCAGCCCTCGCTCTCCGCTCTAGACAAGTAGACCCGCCTGCTCGCACCCCTGTTGTAACACTCCCCCAAATGCCGTTGATATGTCGCCCGCACATTGTGTGTACTCTCTCACGCGCCCCAATGCATGGCAAGAGCTTCTTTCAGGTCCCACATGGATGTGGGATCCCAAGGCTTTGGGCCATCTTTTACCGCATTCTCAGGCCACAAGTAGGGAGCTGGATGAGAAGTAGAGCAGCCGGGACACAAACCAGCACCCATATGGGATCCCGGCGCTTGCAAGGTAAGGGTTTAGCTACTGAGCTACTGAGCTAGGGGCACTCATATTTATATATTTAAAACAGTGAATGGCAATGAATAAGTGTCATGCTATTACTATTATGAGTCCTTTGGGAAAAAAGTTTTTTTGTTTAAATAAATGAAAAACAATTTCTGTTTTGTTTCTCTGACCTCTAAATTTGGTTATTTGTTCTTCTCATAAGGTACTAAATTATACTTTGTCTAATTGGTTACCAGGGTTCATTGGGAATAGTTATTAACTTCTTAAATGTCCTGATTTCTGCCAACTGTCACTATTCCATATGGTTTCATTCTCTTTATATTGCCTTCTTCAGTGGGTGGGGGGGAACTAGACATTATTTTCCCTTTTGGGCCTTTATTTCTCTTTTTATTTCTTTTCATACTAAATATGTCAGGGAGTTAGCATTTGTTCAATCAGCTCATTGTGCACAAACCCAAATAACTTTTTATCCAGCTATTTGGACAAGGTTCATTTGCAATTATGACATCAATTATTGCTAGGTGAGTAAATGTGGATAACAGTTTAATTTAGGATCATCACAAGAATTCTTTTTACATCAATGGATGCTGGAGAGTATTAGAAAATAACTCTTCTAATCTTGTCCAACTTCATTAATTTGCTTATCAAATCAACAAACCTATCAGAGTAGTCAGACTGGGTTAAATTAGACAATGCCAATCAAATTACAGTCACTTATAAGACAGGGATTTTGACAGAATAAAGTGTTATTGACTGCTTCTAAGTGAGACAGGGGTGAACATACTGTATACCTCACCTTTCAAAGGGATGCAGAAACCACATTGGAACTAGCTTCAAGTTCTGTGCAATCATGTCATTGACTAAGTAAAGTAGGGTCAATTTAGTGAGACAAGTTAAGAACATGACAATTATACACAAAATACTTTTTAAACTGCTTTTCCTTCTCCTTTTAATCTTGATTCCAAACTCCTGTTTTGCAAAAATGACGTCAATTTACTCATAAAGTATAATTTAGTACTTTATGAGAAGAACCAATAACCAAATTTAGAAGTTAGAGAAACAAAAAAGAACTTGTTTTTGTGTTTCTTTTTAAAGTTTTTGAAATTTTAAATTATAACAGTGATTTTTAAGATTGAAAATAGTCCTTTATCTGCATGATATCCTTTTATTAGAAATATCGGGTGCAAAACTAATAAAAAGTTTACTATGTATAGAGATAATATTAAGTAATGACCTGCATCATGCCTCCCAAAAAGTTCCCCCTAAAATTTAGTCACTAGTTTCTGGAAATTTCAAAGTATTTTATTGGAAGCACAATTCTAATTTTTTTTTTCCAGTAAATTTCTAACCTTTACAAATGTTTGTTTCATTTGTTTTGTTTTTCCTAGTTTTCTTGATTTACTTACAAAAAGAGAACGGACTTCACGTATTTGATATATAGAATTCTAAGAATGTAAGGATATTTTTCTGCCCTCCCTAGCCCTTCTTTATTTTTGTTACTTTTTTCTTTTTAAATTTTGGTAACATATGTTCAGTTTATTTTATCATCACAGGCTTAATCTTTCACTAAATAGGGAAGAGTTCAGCAAGCACAAAGTAGTGACTGCTGTTCTATAGGTACATAGAGGAGGTCTGCGGACAATAATCAGATATCAAGGTGTCCCTTTCTCTCACAGACAGAAAAACACACACGCACACATGCACAAGCATGTCTTAGCGCATTTTCTCTCCATTTTTTGGCTCAAAAACTATCCATTACTCTTACATTTTCAACTTGTCTCAGTTCTTCCTCGTGCTGATTGAAGATGTCCTCCCATCTGCGTTGGCGCCTTCGTCTGCGGGTTTCTAAATCCGAGAGCTCGAACTCTTCAGGTTTCCTGGATGCCTTAGCCCTGAACCTCTTTGGTGACAGTCTTTTTGCCAGTGCCTGCCTTAGACTAGACACCCTGGATTTTTTCTTGCGTGCCTGTTCTGGCTGAGAGTAGAATACGTTTGTCGACAGGTTTTCCATTAGGATCTGCAGTGGCCCAAGTGGCTTGGAGTTGTACGAGTTGAGTGCTTGGAGCAAGTCTCTCGACAACCCTTCTATCAGCGCCTGGATGGAGCCAACAGCTTGCGGGGTCTCGAGTGCCCAGGCCTGTGCCTGAGATGCCTCTTCTTCCTGCTTCTGCACTGGGATGAGCAGCTGAGTATCTAAATGCAGGGGCAGCAGCACATGGTGGTTCTGCGAGAGTAGGGGCAGAACCACTTGGGCATGCACTCGGATCAATTCAGCTTCCTCTGCCTCGGGCTCTGCCTGCACGGGCTCTGCTGCCTCTTCCTGTATCTCTGCCTGTTCTGGAGCCTGGTTCTGCTGCAGCTGCTCATCTGGCTGGTTCTGCATCTGCTGTTGTTCAGCAGCCTGGCCTTGTCCCTGCTGTTGCTCAGGGACTTGTTCTTGCCCCTGAAATTCCTCTGGCACCTGGTCTAGATCCTTTGGCTCTTTTGATAGCTGGGCCTGCTCTGGAGCTTTCTGCTCTTTTTTGGGCAATGGAGCCTGTATTGGTAGACGCCTAGGCATCTTAGCGTGAGGTGGAAGTGGCATGAGCACCCGAGCTGCCCGCTGCAGTCGTGGGGGTGCCATGATGTGCATCTGTAGAGGCCTAGCTGCCTTCAGCTTACCCTGAGCATGTAATGGCATGAACACCTGAGCTGCCACATGTAGGCGCTTAGGTGCCTTGGCTGGCTTCTGTAGAGGCCTTGGGATGTTGTCCTCAGCCTGTGGTGGCAATTCTCCCCTGGCTTCCCCCTGCAGCTGCTGAAGTGCTTGCATCTGTGGCTCATCATCAGGCAGCCATCTGGGCTGAGAGGGTTCTCCACGTAGGATACGGAGGGGCCTGCATCTGCTGCTGGTTGGCAATCTCAGAAGCTCATGAGTGCAGGAAGATCCCCTGAGACATATGAATAATGATGACAGAATTAGTATGTCCAGTGGAATGGAGCCATTCACAGTAAGTTTTTCTTTTAAGTGGGCATTTTCTGTAACAAACACATTTATTTGTAATACTGTTTTGATTCATCTCTGTAATGCTGTCAGATATTAAGGGATAGTGATAAAACTTTCTCCTCAACATGTCCATTCAACATCTCTAGAAGATAAGACCTGTTATTTGGTGTATCTGAAAGAATTAAGTCTTTCTGAATGAAAAGCAACAGTACACAATCAACCTCTCTTATGTGAACTGGTATACACATTACTCATCCCACAAATAAACCCCCACAATCCACAAAACATTATAATATATAATAACAACCACTTAACATACCAAACCCCTCCCCTCTTTACCCAACACATCCCCTCCTCCCCCCAACCCATTCACCACATACCTCCTCTTCCTCATCCACCCTCAACTATCAATTCATATCCTCAATTTCATACTCTAACCCAACCCACTTACATCCCACCACCACCCCCCCCAACCAATCAACTATCATATTCTCTACTACAACTTACCCAATCCCCCCCCCCCCCCCCCCCCCCACCCTCCAATCCACACCCACAACCCAAAAATATAAAATCCTTCCCCCCCCCATATTCCCCCCCATCCTTCCCCCCCAACTTCCTCTTCCCACCATCTCTCCCACCTTTCCCACCTCCCACCACATCCTCTCCCTCTACTCCGCCCCCCCCTCGCCGCCGCTCCTCTTAACCTCCTCTTTCACACTAATCGTCAAACCCTTTCCAATTGTTATGCCTTCAATTTAAATTAATCTACATTTTACAAACCAAACAAACCATTTTTCACCATACCACATTAAAACAAGCATACATATTCATATCATAATAACATTGCCAAATCCACCTGGTCAAACAGCAACCTAAAACCCCAACGTAATACATTTTGAATTTCCTATAGTACATTATCTAGAGCAACTATATTGACATCCTACACTGGAAGTTAGCAAGTGACTGAGTAGATGTGTGGTTATTCCTCACCCATTTAAGAATGCCTGGGTTCTCTGATTTAAGTCTAGTGACTTTGTCCCCACTGGGAATTAAATCCACCAATCTGCTCTTCACTTCAAAATAGGTTCCATCTGGTTAATCACATGGGACAACTTTCACTCCAGGTAGGACTTGCAGCTGACTGGAGGGTGCCTGTGGCCTTGTTCAGGTTCCTGTCCCTTCACTCCATTTTTACCCTCAACACTGCTTGTGGTCCCTCAAATTAAACGTGGACTATGCCACAGAACTTTGGTAGTACTTCCCCGGATTTTGTGAAAATCATCCCAATCCCACCATTTTGGGCACAGACTCTTTTATTTGTATAAATTAGCCTCTAATGAAATCTTATAGTTGAAGATTAGTATATAAAATAAGCTTTATCTTGTGCACAAACATGACTTCAAAATTAGCAGTCAATCAGTGGTTAGTTACAAACTTACTTATCTTGGTGGAGTCGCTTAAAATAGAAACTGAAAAACAACCATAAAATGCAGATTTTTCCCTTTTATTTGTATTAGTTAATCAGTAGCTTACTTAAAATTATTACATCACAAAATTCTATTTGAGGCTTTCCAGGACTTTGTAAATATAAATACTTGCCATATATAACTGGCAACAACCCAGAATAACCTTGTTTTGTATATCTATACATGCCTGGGCAAGAGGTCATTAACTGAGTAAAAACACATGGCATGTTACTGGAAAAACTAAATATAGAAGGCCTCAGTATTTTTACTTTCAACTTAACGCTTACATAAACACTTTTTTTCTGAACACAATAAAGGAGTAAAATTTTTCTCTTATCTGAATATTCATTCTAGTAAAATAAGACTGCTCATATTTTACCTTTTTTCTGTCTTTTTTTAATGATTCCTGTAAGATGCTTCGTTAACGACTCAACAACGTGTCGTTCATTTTTGATATTCTGAACAAATGGGTGCTCAAGCATGTTTGCAGAAGTAGGACGAAAGAGGAAGTTTTTTATCATGCATTTTTCCATGAAATTGTGGAACTTGCGAGACCTAAAAGTAAGGAGTTACAGGAATAAAGGGCCATTCTTGGGCAGTCCACACCTCTTTCCACCCTCAACCACATGCCACTCTGAAGGGCTTATTTCTGGAGAGAGCTGCCTCTACATAGAACTGTCTTTACAGTGAGCAAATATCTTGCAGCCTGACAATACACACTGCAGAGTGAAGCCATTTAAGTCTCAGAAAAAGAAGCCCAAGTCAGTAGTGTTTTCTACTCAATAATACCAGTAATTTCAAGGTATGTACAAAATAAAAATGCAAGCGGTGTGTGTGTGTGTGTGTGTGTGTGTGTGTGTGTTGCAACCAAATGCTTGATGTCAGATATACATATACATACATACATATGTGTGTGAGAGATCCATAAGACAAGATCTGTCAGTCCACAGTACTCAAAATTATGAAGCCTGAAGGTTTTTCTTAGTCACTCAGCTTCTGCTTCAGAGGCATAAATGCAAGGATCCATAAAGAAGGTATTAATAGCACTGGGACTAATGTTTTAAAATGTTCCACGAATACAGAAGTGTTTTTGTTTTTTTTAAAAAAGAAAACCTAAATGTGTGAAAAGGGGTAAACTGAATCATAGCCGTAAGTGTCCAACATGGACAGTAAAGCAAAACTGACCAAATGAATTAAAATGTCTTTGCTACACAAAATGTCAAGTCAGTGTATTTAGGAGAGCAAGTCATTCATTTTTACCATCCACTGGATTTGACTGTAGGAGCATTTTCCCGCAAAATGACAAAAAGAGCTTCCAAGGGCTGAAGGTTACACAGAGCTGTAGAAGGAAAGAGAGGCCTTTAGAACACGAGGGTATCTACAGAGCACATTCCTCATTCCAGAGGGTTTTCTCAGTGTTATTTCGCATCTCCAGTTGGACACACACTAGGGAACAGCAAGTACAAAATAAAGCACTTAAGAAAGGCTCCTTTTAAACTCAAACATTACATTAGATAAGATTCTCAAGTTTTGCCAGCATTTTGTATAACAAGTCAATAATAAATTAGACTAGATGAGATTTTTTGTTTTGTTTTGCTTTTTTTTTTTTTTTTGAAATTGTGGTTGATGATTTTATCTGGAAAATTTACAAAAAAAAAAAAAAGGAGACGAACACTCTATATGACAGATTATAGACCAGAATATATAATTCTAGGCTTCATTCAACCAAGTTAATAGCTAGATACAGGAATACATAAAGAAGGTTGGATTGAGTAGCCTATAAAGCTAAGAAGAGTCTATTTTTGGAAGCTGAGAGTCCTAGAAAAGAGGTAGCTGAAGTACAATGGCCTGTTCAGAACACACTTTCCAGAATAAACCCTTACTTCACTTACATGTGTCTCAATTTCTTCTGAAAAAAAAAAGTTGCTGTGACAATTAGCAACCTTTTAGTAAAAGCATCTGTGTCAAATTACTGAGATTTCACAAACTACACACATAAAATCTATTCTAATATCACTATATGAATTACTGCTCACTTGCTCTAGAATTCAAGGTTTTTCTATAACTATTCTTAATTTTTAAAAGATTTATTTTGGGCCTGGTGCAACAGCTCAATCGCTAAATCCTCACCTTGATTGCGTGGGGATCCCACATGACCACCAATTCATATCCCAGCTGCATCACTTCCCATCCAGCTCCCTGCTTTCGGCCAGGGAAAGCAGTGGAGGATGACTCAAACCCTGTACTTGCATGGGAGACCTGGAAGAAGCTCTTAGCTCCTGGCTTCTGGCTTTGTATAGCTCAGCTCTGGCTATTATAGTCACATGGGGAGTGAAGCAGAGGATGGAAGATCTTCCTCTATGTCTCTTCCTTTCTCTATTTGCCCTTCTAATGGAAATAAATAAATCTTCAAAAAAAATTTCTAAATCCTTTATCAAAATTTATTTGAAGGGCAGAATATGAGCAAGGAGATGGGGAGAAAGCTCTTCCATCTGCTGGTTCACTCCCCAAGTGGCTACAATTGCTGGGGGCTGGGTCAAGAGCTTCATCTTAGTCTCCGATGTGGACACAGGGGCCCAAGCAATTTGACCTACTTTGGTTGCTTTTCCAGGTACACCAGCAGGGAGGTCAATTGGTAGTAGAGCAGCTGAGACTTGAATAGGTTCTCACATGTCAATGTTGTAGGTAGTGGCTTACCCAACTACTCCACAACACAGGCCCCAAGTTTTTTTTTTTTTTCAAATTTATATATAGGGAAAATTTTTCACGTATTTCATCTATACAGATTTAAGAGGATAATGACACTTACCACCTAATTTCCCTCCCTCATTCATCATTTCTTATTTTTTAAATTTTTATAATAACATACTTTCAATCCACTTTATAGTCACAAGTTTAACTCTCCACTAGATAAAAAAAAATTCAACAAGTGGTATGTAGAAAAACCACTGTTCCTCAGGAGTATAGACCCAGGGCTACAAATAATAATTAAAATTTAAAATGTTCATTTCACTCATATAAATTGGCATGCTTATATTCTCAATATTAGTTATCAAAAGACATATCTTAACATCTTTGTCTATATGTTTACTGGAGCACTATTTATGAAATCCAAGACATGGAATCACTGTAGGTGAGCACTGATGGATGAATTGATAAAGAAAATGTGGTTTATATATACAGCGAAACAGTAATCAGTTATAAAAAGAATGAGGACCTTGGGGTTGGGGGAGACACTGCATATTGTGGCTCCACTTATAATGCCAGCATACCATATATGAGCATACCATAGAGCACCAATTTGAGTCCTAGCTACCCTGCTTTCAATACAGTTCCTTGCTAACCTGTGTGGAAAAGCAGTGGAAAATGGTCCAAGTACTTGGACCCTACCACACATGTGGGAAACCTGGATGGAATTCCAGGCTCCTGGCTTTGTCCTAATCTAGCTGTGGCCACTGCTGCCATTTAGGGGAGTGAATCAACAGATGGAAGATCATTCTTTTGTGTTCTCTCTCTCTCTCTGTCTTTCTCTCTCTCTCTCTCCCTTTCCAAATAGGTAAAATTAAAAAACAAATTGTTACTGCCATGGAATGGAGTTGCTATATGCACTAAGTCAGACACATAAAGATAAACACCACATGTTCTCACTTATACTAGGTACTTTTAAAATGCTGAAAAAAAATGGAACTTGCAGTCAAGTTAATTTTGGTGTAAAAACCTTTTGAAACCCATGAATACAAGAGGTCTTCAGTAATTCCATGGACATGTATATTATTAAAAAAAAACTATGTATGAATTTAAAAGATTTCTTACACCAAAATGAACTCATCTTTTACTTTCATTTTCCATGGATTTTTGAAGTACTCTGGTAGGTGGAATCTATGTTGTTCTTAAAGAAGCAGAAAACAGAGCATAGGTCACCAGAGCCTGGGAAGGACGTGGGAGAGGAAAAGATGGAAAGAGGATGAGCAATGGATATAAGGGTGTATTCGAACATTCTAGAGCAGGATTGGATACCTCATACTTGAAAACAATTAACTGAATGTTTCAAAATAATAAGCAAAACATTGTAATGCTCCAAATACAAAGAAATTAAATATATCCAAGGTAGTTAATATGCCAGTTATCATGATCTGAATGATTATTATACACTGAATACACATATCAAAATATTACATTGTACCCCATAAATATGTAAATTACTGTGTGCCCAGAAAAATATACTGAAATAATAAATAAGTGTCTCACTTATTTTCTGTTATGTTTTACAAAAGAAAATTGAGAGTACAAAAAAAAATATCTTCAGATGAGATCCAGAGATTAACTTTCATTAAACACAAGTGCGACATTTATGTGAGCACAGTTTGATATTAGTGACTCTTCATAGAGTCATCCTTCCTCTCCCAAAATATATCATCAGGAAACTTACAATTTCAAACTGACCTACAAACAAAATGAAAAAGAATCCACAGGATGACTTTATTAGGTTAATAAAAAGGCAATTGTTTAAAGGTCAAACTTAGTTCTCAATTACACAGATGCAAATTAATACAAGGTGAAGCCTTATATTTGGGGGCAGAATTAGCTATGAGCTCAAAGAGTCAGAATCACATTTCACTCTTTTTTAATCTCTTCACTGTGTCTAGTCATTTATTAGGTTTTATCCTTTAAACATATTGTAATACCTGTCATTTACTTAAGTTACAATATCTTCAAAGGTCAACAGTTAGGATGCAGACTGTGTAGGTTTTCATCAAGGAATATGGGAATTGCATAAAGGAACAGAGCACAGGGTGGGTAAAAGGTCTATAGGACAGCAGCTGTGGACAGTTTCACGAATAGTCTAATTTTAGAAGTGATGCTGAGTACCCTAACCAACCTATATCTCATAACACTGCCTAACTGTTAATAGGCCCAATCAAATTAAATAACACATTTTCTTAAAAACAAACAAACAAACAGATATCTTAAGAGGTTGGACACATATTATTTCTAATGTGTATTGAGATCTGAAACAATCTTCTGAGTCCTGAAGAGATACGCTCTTGATGGGACAAAGGCAAACTAGAATCATAATGCAGTAAGATAAAGACTGACATGGAGTGTGAGGGAAGGATGCTCCAAGAAATAGGGCTAAAAGTAAGCATCGTTTACAGCAATAAAAATAATTTCTGCCAATCATGGGTATGTCAAAATAGGGAACGGGAGAATCCAGATTAAGTAAATTGGTTTGTGTCAATCATGTGCACAGAAGGGGAGCAACAGGCTAAGAACCACATCTTTTCAGTATTAGCCTAAGAGATTCTGTTGTTTTATTTACCAGCATTTTCTGCTTGGTTTAAAAATATCCTTATGGTTTGATTTGAAGTCCACATTGAAATTATGAAAGGAAGTGAAGGATCTAGTATAGCATCCTTTCATCGAGAACTTCTTTCTTTAGAAAAAAATCTCTGAAAAATTCATCAAAGAATGATAAAAGGAAGAGAATTTGGTTATCTGGATCTCAGAGAACAGTATCAGATAACTGCCACTTTGGAAAGCCATCCTCCCTGAGATAATTATCTTAACCTGGAGAATTTCTGCAGTTTAATTCATGATGCTCATTTCCATGCAAGGCTAGTACTCCAGGAAATAATGGAGCTGGTGAAAGAGAAGTGTTTTAGTGGGGTAACTATATACACTTATCAAGCCAAAGTTGTGCCATTCCAATTACCTATTCAGATGGATTGGCCCTATTTTCTCTCCTTGCAAGTTCAGAACATCCTGGTGTTCACTTGTCTTAAACCCTGGGCAAAACTCCATTGCACTTGTTTGTGAGTATGCTCATTATCCTTTTATTTTTTCTTCTGTGAGATAACATTTTGCAATACACCAAGTAAAACAACAAAAAAGGGAAACCTAAAACCATGATGTTTCTGATGAGCTATGATCAGCAATGATGAGGAAAAAAGGTATTACTTGATTTGATAATACATCCTAGCCAGACTTGTGCATCAATGCTAAGATGAATTATCATACTGTGGATATATGGGGAAAAGGGGTGTGGAAGAAAGAGAAAGCCAGGGGACACAAACAGAGAGGAAGATAGAGTAAAATTCAGAGAAGAAAAGCTATACCATGTTTCCCAAATACATATAGTCAGGAGAGACCAAGGATTGATTCACATGTTCTAAGCTCATTTCTTTCTTTTCTGAAATGTGGCAAATGCACAGTTTTGCATTTTAGTCTTTTTCGTCATTCATTTCATATCCACCAAACTTGGGTATTTGTAGCTTAGGGGGCACTAGAGCCTTTACCAACAAGATCTCCATAACTGTCATAGCTTTGTCCCAACCTTACTTTGATACCCAAGGGACACGAGGCATTCTTGACCATTAAGTTACCACTATCTACATTTCTTCAAATTCTTTGGCTTTGATACCTTGTGCTGAGATAGTTCAAGCTTACATAGTTCGGTGGATGAACAATGAGAAGGCAAGGGCACTCAGAAACAAGGGGACGTGCACAACTATGTCTTCCCCCCCATTCCCCAAGACACATAAATCCAAAGATACTTCTTTATACTTCTCAGGAAAAATACTAGGCATGCATTATCATTTACAGGTTGGATTTAGATATTGAGGACAGTAAATATGCCATGCTCTGGGTTCATACATTATGTGGTTAGCAGTAATTTATACCTAAGCTCATATTCCATTTTCACTTCTCTATCAATGTCTTGAGAGAATGGGATGCTGACAGTTCATTTAAATCATGATGAGTAGGGGATACCAGAGGAAACTGTGAAGCACACAGGGGTGGCTAAACGGAGAAAAGACATCAAAGGTGAACTGATTGACACCCTAAGGGAAAATGGTTCATTTCGCAACATTGCTGAGAACTGGATCAATTTCAACGAATGTACCGGAGTATATTCTCAATGATCACACCTTGAAGCAGCAGCACTTTATGACTGTAAATGTTCTGGAACCTAAATATTCCACTAGTCAACTGAGACTGGAATGTTTCTGGATTCCAGTTGCTTAGAACAGTCAGGACTCAATACTACAGAGGCTAAATTGAAACACAATTCAGTCAGCCTAAAATATGAGAGCATATTAAAAAAAAAGCACATGCTGTTTTATAGATCCACATTTGGCCATTCTGACAAATTCATCTGGCACTCACTAAAAAGGCCATCACTTATCATTTGGCACATAGTGTGACACCCATGTGACCAGTAGAAACTGACTGGTACAAATGGTAATTGCAAATCCTTCCAGGAAAACATATTTGTACAGTGCATATGGTTAAACTTTAACAAATGTTAAGCATTTTTACTTACGAGGAGCCCCTTCAGCCATTTCAATTGCAGTGATTCCCACAGACCACACATCACTCTGCAAAGAAAAAGATGACAAAAAAGACACTTAAAAATAGAATATGACAGTATTTAGAACCCTTGGAAAAATATTTGGCTGAAGATCAGTTTACCAGCATCAGTGGCATTTTCCAGGTCTTTATAAAGGAGATTCTTATTTTATTTTGAAAGGCAGAGTTACAGAAGGAGAGAAGGAGACAGGGAAGGGGAGTGAGAAAGAGAGAGAGAAGATCTTGTATCTGATGGTTCAGTTCTTCAAATGGCCACAAATGCCAGGGTGGAATCAGCTTGAAGCTTGGAGCCTGGAACTCCATCCAGACCTTCTATGTGGGTACAAGGGCCATTTTCCACCACTTGGGCCATTTTCCACTACTTTTGCAGGCACATTAGCAGGGAGCTGGATCAAAAGTGGGGTGGCCTAGACACAGACTGGCACCCATATGAAATGCTGGCCTCGTGAGCGACCCAGCCCAGTCCAAGCCACTATACCGGAATGTTAGTTCCTCTGGGTCTTCTGTAATGAAATTTTATTACAGACTGACAGTACAGGGAATAATTTGAGCCTGTGACAAGCCCAAAGACCTTGTTCTACAGTACGTTGAGGTGGACTGGGGTCAAGTTCAGGGGGAGTTAATCATAAATATAGTGGTATTGTCGCCTTAACTGAAATTCCAGAAGGTACTTTTCATATTGAAGTCTTATTACATATACACAAAAACTATGTCATCTTGGGCAATGTCACTTCATAAAACAGTGATAATAATAGTATTCACCTCAATGGACTCAATGTGTATGTATGTGCATGTATATGTATGTACATATACATGTAGGTGCATATGTACACATGTGGAATATATATGCACACATATGTAGATGTATATAGATTATAGATTATGTAGATTATATAAACATATTTACATACACATACATGTCTATATTTATATACTTCCTATTAATTTCAGTAAATCCAGTCTGGGATTATAAAGATGCTCTAGGAAATTACTCTCACCCCAACTAACTACACTCAAGAATGTAGAAAGGGCACAGGACTAGAGACATGTTAAATGGTCGAATAACTTCTAAACAAATTAATTACATTTGTAGAAAACTGGTTTATAGATTTGGTAGCTTCAGTTGTGAAATTTTCTTCTAGCATCATGGAACTAAATTTTTTTAAGACAAGTAATGCAATTGAAAGCTAATGGAAGACTGCTATATGCTTTATGTGACTATAAAGTATTATTCTCACAGAAAGCCACTTGAAGAACTTGGGTTTGCATAGTTTTTTAGTTTCTGATATAGCAAAGACTCTATAACTGGCACCCAGTGAATAACTATTTTGATCAAGCAGAGGGAATTTAAGAAAATGAGACGAAGTTTAAATTAATCAGCTTCAAGTATTAAGTTCTAAGTTCCACACAGGGAGACCACAATGGATTGTTTGGATGACTTACAATGTGGAGAGTGAGTGAGGTTTTTTTCCCCAGACTATAGCAAATGGAGAGTTTTCTTTCCACATCAGCTTTTTGAAATGTGTACCTAGATGTATATTGTCCAAATTGCAGCTTCAGTGGAAACTTTAATAAACAGCATGAATTGTTACTTACTTTGTCTATCCCACTGGTTTTCTGTGGTTTGGAGGTGAATCACGCCAAGGATTTTCTACATTTCCCTGAGTAATCAAGTTATTATTATTTTTTTCTCTCTGGAGCTAAGTTACTATGAGGATTAATAACTGGCTTTACATTTACTTATTTTTTAAAAATTTACAAAGTTCTCTGCCCCTGAAAGATAAATTTCCATGTAAAGCCACATAATGTAATAGTTTTACTAAGGAGTTACCAGCAACAAGAACTAGTTATTCTACCTCAAATCTCAGTGACTCCCAAAGGCCTACTTTGTGTCCATGCTTAGAAAATGTCATTTTCAGGCACAGAAACTGACCACATGTAAGAACACAAAATTGTATTTCATATTTGAGTTTAATGTGAAAGGGGGATTCATGCACTTTATTCTTTTATTATTAAAAATAAATTTGAATCAGTATCTCTTCCCGAATGTATTTGCACTCTCTCACACTCACTCGGTAATCATAGGAGCGTCTTGGGTCCTCGTCACAGTTAATCACTTCGGGTGCCATCCAGTATGGTGTCCCAATGAAGCTGTTTCTTCTTCCATTGGTTCTGCTCACCTGGGCACTCACTCCAAAATCCACTGCAAAATTCAGCACATGTCACAATAATTAATCAGCAACAGAAAGCCCAATAAGTTACTGCTTTAACTTGGAAAGCCAATACAAAAGCCACAATGGATAACAGATTTTCATTCCAGCCCAGCAAAACTTTACCATGAAGTCTACTCCAGGAATACTGGGAAATAAGCTTTTGCTGCTATTTATGTTGGAATGAAACTCAGCAGTGCTATTATAAATCTACAGTAGGCTTGGCTCAATGTTTACCATGAATATTAAAAATAAAGTTCTATTGGTACGCCCTGAATCTCTGAAGCAATAACATATGTAGTATCTGGGCCTGCCACCAAACAGGAAGAATGGCAACATCTAAGGAACCTAAAATGTATCAGCAGTTGATTAAGAAGCCTCACTTACGACACTGAAAAATCCTATTGCACTGATTAAGAAAAATGCACTTTGTGCTAGAAATTAGTTTAATTTCTTGTACAGCTCTTCTGAATCAGATGCAAATATTTACTGCAGAGTCTATACCTTAACTTAGACTACAAAATTTTAGTCTTCATCTGTGGGATACATTATAATAAAATATTTGGTATGGTATCCTCAGAAACAGTAAGGGGAAAAAAGATGCTAAGCAGACTAGAGTTATTGAGTCCAGAAAAACAAGACAAGGATGAAAAATGAAGGAGATTTTCTAATTTAGAATGGTTTCCAGGAATCTAGAGGGTGGCAAACAAAACTGAATGAAAAGCAGCTTGAGGAATGTAGGAGAAGAAGAGGAAAAAGGAGAAAAAACATTTTAAGGCATTGTGAAGAAATGATTTAACAGGAAGAGCTGCAAAACTGTCTATAATGCTGTACAGAAGTACCAATGTGTGTTGAACAGTCTCATAATACAGATATTTTTATTAGAAATAGTTTACATCAGAGCTCAACTCAGTTTACATTCTCACTATCCCCAAGGGCAAGATTTAAGGGCCAAGGAATAAACGCTATCAACTGAAATATGGTTTATATCCAGGGAAGAAAATGGAGAGAAAAAAGATGAAAAGAAAGAGTGGCAAATTAAAAAGGGGGATGGGGAGAAAGAAATGGGAAAGTTGAAAATGAGATGTAAAAGCGCAGATGAAGTCTCAAAAGTGTCATAAGGTAATCTTTTCTTTGATGACTTGAAGGACTAGAATACACATCAACTGCAAATGCAATATTATCTTTATCCTTTTTTCCTTTCTGTTACTTCTTTTGGCTGCCATGTGGTTTGCCTTCTCCTTATTAACATGTTGATTAAATTTATGAAGGTATTTTAGTCTCCGGAAAATGGATTAAAAGACGGGTTTGTTTTGGTGTAAAAACATGAAATCCATGCAGTTTTTTTATAACATGTATTTTCCATGCATTTCCAAAGGTCCATTATTTGCACACATTTTATTTTTTTTTCACCAGAATAAATGTTTAATATTCCTTTCCTTGGTATGCCATGCAAGAAACCTGAAACTAACTTAGTAGGTAAAATAGCTTGAATAAATTCAAATCCATCACTAAAATGTCTCTCAGAGTAAAGTACATTAACTTAACTACATGGGATTTGTGTATAATTTCTTTCAGTGTTGCAAATGGGCAGGTAGATCAGCAGATTGACCCAAGTATATGAAGCAATGCTTCTGTATGTGAACAGAGTATAGTCCTGTAGTTGATCATCTATCCTGTATATTTAATGTGAAATCTACACACTCCTGACACATTTCAATGCAGTCTCTTAAAACTGTGTTTCCACTTTTATAGTTTTGAATACTAAAGTGTAAAACACTTTCTAGAAACTTTTCACTTATTTCCAAAGCAACTTCTACCTCATGCTTCTTTTACAAATGTTTACTGAAAAATGTTCTCAACAAGTAAACATCTATTTTCTGTTTGAAAATTTACTTATATAAGGTGAACAAATTTCATATATATATATATACAGATGTAGGAAAATTCTTATTTTTATTCTATTTATTTAGCAAGAAAATGGTAACTATTTTATAGTCACATTAAAAGACATGTTACGGGCCTGGCACAGTGGCGCAGTGGTTAAGGTCCTCGCCTTGCACCCCCGGGGTCTCATATGGGCGCCGGTTCTATCCCGGCAGCCCCGCTTCCCTTCCAGCTCCCTGCCTGTGGCCCGGGAAAGCAGTCGAGGACGGCCCAAAGCTTTGGGACCCTGCACCCGCGTGGGAGAGCCGGAAGAGGCTCCTGGCTTCGGATCGGCATAGCATCAACCATTGCGCTCACTTGGGGAGTGAATCATCGGACGGAAGATCTTCCTCTCTGTCTCTCCTCTCTGTATATCCGCCTTTCCAATAAAAAAAAATAATAAAAATAAATCTTTAAAAAAAAAGACATGTTACGAAGAGTTGATAAAATTAAAAGAAAAAGATGATTTATGTTCGATCTCAACGGGGCTAACAATGCCCACTGGTGACATGACTTACATGTTATTATTTTAAAACAAGTCATCAATGTTTATTTAACATTAAATGATGTGATTTTTTAAAAAAAAAAGATTTATTTTCTTTTTATTGGAAAGTCACATATACAGAGAGGAGGAGAGACAGAGAAGAATATCTTCCATCTGATCATTTAGTCCCCAAGCAGCCACAATGGCCATAGGTGAGCAAATCCCAAGCCAGGACCCAGGAGCCTCTTTCTGGGTCTCCCATGTGGGTGCAGGGTCCCAAGGCTTTGGGCCATCCTTGACTGCTTGCCCAGGCCACAAGCAAGGAGCTGAATGCAAAGTGGGGCCACTGGGCTTAGACCCGGTGCCCATATGGGATCCCGGGATGTGCAAGGTGAGTACTTTAGCAGCAAGCTACTGTGCCAGGCCCGATGTGATGTATTTTAGCATACATGCCTGTAAAAAAGAATGTGGCTATTTTCAAATAAATCAGGCCACTATGAATCCTGAACTAGAAATCCAGGGACATTTTTTTTTAAAGATCTATTTTTATTATTTTTTTATTGGAAAGGCGGATATACAGAGAGGAGAGACAGAGAGGAAGATCTTCCGTCCGATGATTCACTCCCCAAGTGAGTGCAATGGTCGATACTATGCCTATCGGAAGCCTAAATTTGATTAAACTGGAGCACCATTTCTGATCTATATCACTTCATTAAATGTTTGATGGAAAAGTGATTTTAAAAATTCTTTGAAAATCTGGGGAAATCTGTGCTTCGAAAAAATTTTTTTGCTCTTTATTTCTTGTTCATGACATACAACTTCCACATGATAAAGACTCAATGCAATTATTGAGATATATAGCCATCTATAACAAGGGATGAAACAATGACCACAGAGAAAAGGGCTTACTAACATTTAAAAACTATTTCATCTCCAGGCCTTCAAAGAATCAACTCCATGCTTTCTCTTCCATTTGCTCCCACCCCTCCCAAGAAAACTTTCAGGTTTTTCCTTGTTTTGTAGGTAGAGAAACCTTAGCTCAAATGCATGGAAGGGATATGATTAAAAGCACAGTAATCTTAACGGCATTTTCCTCTTTAAGATGTTCTGTACCTTACCTCAAATATCATAGGAAAACACTCACCCAGTTTTACTTCAGCAGTATGAGTCAGGAGCACATTCTGACCTTTGATGTCCCGGTGGATGACTCGGTGAGCATGAAGGTGAGCTAGTCCCTGCATATGCATATATGTGTACGTTAACTTTATATGCATTATATGATATATATTAAAATTTAAAAGTACCATGTTAGTGCATGCATTTTTCTCTTTTCTGGTACTCTTAGTATTTTTGGAAAAGCCTTTGGTGAAAGAAATGGTCCAGATTTTCTTTTTCAGACAAAATTCTTTCTTTAAGTTGGAATTATTACAACCAATTCCCAGAAATTCTACTTTTGGCTATAAAGAAAGGAAAATAAATCAGGACACCCATGAAAGAGAAGGAACACCAAAAAGTAATGTTTGTATACATTGGGCCATTTTACCTTCCTTTCTTGCTTCCATATTTCCAAGTAACCATAAGAGTGAAATCCTGGGCATCTTAAATATCATGGTTTAGCCACCGGTTTTGCTCTATTCCTCTTCCAACCATTTGTTTAGTCCAAAATATTTTCTAGTCAGCCTTGTAGGCTGAGAATTTGAGGGAATATGGAAATTCATTTTAAAGCTTTTGCAATTTGTGTTGGCTTATGATGCTGGCTTCAACCCATTTACCACTAACCCGTGACCTGGCTACACCATGACATGGTATGCAATTATTAGGCTGCAATGAGATCGCTTCAGATACTAACTGGGGATTAATAATATAATTAGCAATCCACAAAGCTAACATTTATTGAGTTCTGGTTCTTTCCCAGACACTGTGTTATGTGGTTTATATGAAGTGAATGAATAAAACCTCATAGCAAATCTTTGAGGAAGGTGTAAATATCATCCAGTATTAGATGAGGAAAGTGAGACTTGAAGAAATTAAGTAACTGATTCAAGGTCACACAGCTAATAACTCAGTGAACCAGAATGTAAATTCAGCTCAGTTTGCACTCTTAACCATTTATGCTATTAGTACAAGTGAATACAACTACATGAGGGAAAGGGCATTCTAACACAGTAGGAGGTATGCTATTAAGTTCTGCTAATAGTTTTTTTTCTTGGTCACACTGAGAACTTAAAGCACAAAGAAAATTTTCAATTTTATAATTAAGAAGGTTGTTGTTCTCACCTGCATGTTAGAAATAAAGAACAAGCAGAGTAGTGTTCAGAGCACACACTGGTATGCAAGGCTACCAAAGTTCTGGGGCTTCTGTGTAACATTCACTTCTTTTGATTCATCCTAAATCATGATGATAGTACCAGGCTTTTTAAAGAACTCTAAATATAAAAATATAGTCAATAACCCATATGGTCCTTTCCATGAACCATTTAACATGTGGTCTGACTCTGACAGGATCATTGAAGACCCTGACTTGGGATGACATGGACACTCCTCTTGCCATCTTCCTTAAAATTTAAAGATAGCACCTGGACATTAAATTTCTCCAAAGGGTTTTTTTTTTGCCATTTTAGGTTTCCTTATACAGAGAGCATGTTTAGAATTCTTAAATAATCAGATACAAGCAAGTCCAAAGCACATGTGGTAGGCAGCACTCCTGGCTCACTTAAGACCACAGCAGAGTGACTACATGAAGACTCACCTGAAGGATTTCTCGGCAGATATAAGCAATCCAATCTTCTTTTAAACTCTGATTTCTGGTCATCCTCACTACATCAGTGACTGAGCCTGCTGCACAGAACTCCATCACCATCTGCAGGGAGGTCAGCAAAGAATCCAGAATTAGAAAGTAATGATCTGAAATTTATGAAGTGCTTTAGTCCAAATGGCTCATATTTATAAGTACTCTTCACTGTGAAGGGGGGCTGAGTTGTCTCGTAGAAGATTCCAAAGTTGGGAGGAATTAGAAGAAAGTTGGATAAAATTCAAAGATCTGTAGAAGGAGGGAAGCTAGCTACCATACTGGGGATACTAAACCAGGAGATAGGATCTGAGCTAAGTCTTAAGGTAGGTAGCATTTGAACATTCCTTGGATATACATAGAAGGAAGGACATTCAGTTTATGAAAAATCCAGTGAACACATGCCCTTAGAAAGAAGTTTGGCCAGAGAAGGCTGAATAATGACTGGCATGGAAAGGAAATGATAGCCCAAGCACCAGTCTGATTGGGGGTAGAGAAACAGCACACAGAGGGCTTCAAACGCATTTGCATTTCAGTCTTGAGACTAAGGTTTGGCTTTTACTGTTCTGTTTCTATTTTCACATTCCAGGTTATTTTTTCCCCCAAGATATTGGCAAACTACAACTCCAAGGGGGAAGTTGTCAATTGCATTTCTGCAGAAGAATTTTTTCCAATTGGGATTACTGCTTAGGAAAGCCTATCTGAAGCCCAACAACTTTGACAGTATTTCATTCATATTTTATTGTATTATAAACACAGTTTCTCAGAAAATATATTTTTCCACAAATGAATTAAGTGCCAAACTTGTAAATTTCCTTCCCAATTATATTAGCTAACTAGAGGACAGAACAATGTGAAAAAAAGAATGCAACCATTATAATAGAGAGCAGCCTTTTTATTTTTAGTACAGGTTCTTCCATTATTGCTAGTGTCAAAGCTGCTTTATCAAAAAGACAACATGTGACTTTTTAAAACTGTGGGCAAGTTAGCTATCATCATCAGTCAGTGAAACAAAAAGGGAAACCCCAAATCACGATATTCAAAATGTTTGCCTTTGTTTTCTTTTTCTAATATTAAGATCTACTTTTCGCAAAGCTACTCCCGTTAGTTCGCTTTACTGCCATGCCTTTCATTGGAGGACCCTCTTATTAAAAATAAGAGAAGAGTTAGAAAAACAAAGCAATGATACATATATTTGATTTTCATGTGGAGAGTTAAAGAATTAACTGCACTAGGTGAGTACGACATGTACCATGCTGTCACGGGAGAAAGGGAGGTCACTCTGAAGAATGAAAAATCTGATTTAAACCCATCCAACTAAGATGGACTTGCAAAGATCCTGTCACTATTATGTGAATCGGTATTGCCCCAGTAGAAATGGAATGTGAGGCAGTCTCAATCATTTTCCTAGCTGTATCAGCATATAGATCCTGGAAAATATACTTTATAAATAGTTATTTACTTACTTTCTCTTTGGTTTTCTGATTGATGGGCAAGAACATGTGAATGATATTGTGAAAACATTCATCTCCATCAATGACACAGGTACTGAATGTCTATTCACCCTTCAATTTTCACTTCCTTAAGGAAGAGCTTCTTATTCTCCAATTTATTGTAGGTCCCTTTGTCATTCACCCATAGAGAACCATATTATTTATCTTCTGACAAATTACACATTCATTTTTGTGATTATATGATTGATGTTGGTGTATGCAAACAGACTGTAAATTTCAATGGGCTAAGGGCGGAACTACCTGGCCAACCTTTATAGCCCCAGAATCTAGTAGAATGCCTAGCAAATAGAAGGTTTTCCAATGAATATAATGAATGAATTGAGTATTAAATTATATATATCCATAAAGAGGCTGCAACATTTCTTACAGTTTGCTATATTATCAAGTTTTCAGAGAAGAGTATACATGTTTGCTGGACATTCAGAGGAATATGGAGTTACGATGATCCCCAGATTTGGTGATTCTCAGATTAGAAACATCAGCATTATTTGTGAACTTAATACAATGCAAATTCTTAAACTCACATGCCAGACTTACTGTATCTGAGACTTCTGTTTTCCCAGTCTTTTCAGGAGATTCTGATGCATGCTAAAGTTTGAAACAGTGTTTCAATTCAACCTCTTGTTGAATATTTCCCTATATTATCCACAGTCCTACTTGATAAAGCTTATTATATAAAATGCAGTGCAATCTTTTGCTGAGGTTTAAAGATACTTAAAGGTTTCTGGATTGGTTTAAAATATGATCAGTGACTTAGAGTGGAAGTGAAAATGCAGCAAGTATAGATGTTAGGCATACACTGATCCAGTATGTGTTTGAAATAATCTTTTTTTAAAGATTTATTTATTTTTGTTGGAAAGTCAGATATAAAGACAACAGGAGAGACAGAAAAGAAGAGCTTCCGTTCATTGATTCTCTTCCCAAGCAGCCGCAACAGCTGGAGCTGCACCCATCTGAAGCCAGGAGCCAGGAGTCTCTTTCAGGTCTCCCATGTGGGGGCAGGATCCCAAGGCTTTGGGCCATATTCAACTGCTTTTTGAGGCCACAAGCAGGCAGCTGGATGGGAAGCGGGGCCGCTGGGATTAGAACCGGCACCCATTGGAATCCTGATGCATGAGGGGAGGACTTAGGCAGCAAGGCCACAGCACTGGGCCCATATCCCCCCTCCCTTTTTTTAAAGAAAGTTCTTGACCAAAGCTCATATATGTGAAGTGGAGCTATTTCTCCTATACTGGAGGGAAGCAAAAATTCTGGCAACTGCGGTTTGTGTAGCACAGCATCTAGCTAGTCTCTGCAATTTTTATCTCATTGATCATGAATTTATGATATTGCAGACATAAAAACTAACAACTGATGACTAAAATGTCAAACAGTCATTTAGAAAACATTTTGTAGGAATTACACTTGTACTTTAGTGCAATACTTTGCAACCAGTTAAAGTGCGTTCATATAATGTCAAGTGTGAATTAGAACTGATCCTTATCCAATCATTGTTTAATACTCAATCAGGTAGTCTCCACACTAGTGAAAATAGTGATTACACAAAGCAACTATTATGTTTTCCCTGGTGTTTGACAACAAACACACAGAAAAAAAAGCAAAACAAAACAAAACAAAAAAAACCCAACAAGTAATCTTTTGAGTGAGATCAAGATCCTGGGATTTGATTATTGTTTGCAACCTTTGTATATACTCCCAAGGAAGAGCAGTTATTTTTTTTTTCTTACTTGTTATGTTGGATGTATTTCCTATTGGAATGCTGAGTCTGTGATTGTAAAAATCAAATGAAAATACGCCATAGTAAAGATTAGGAAAATAAATAAGCAAGAAGGAAGGAGGGTAGGAAATGAGGGCAGGAGGGAAGCTAGAATGCGAAAGGCTTCTATGTTCCTAATTTTGTATCATGAGATTTGTTCACTTTAACTAAGTAAAATATTTAAAACGCAGTAAAGTTGTGTTTGAAAACATTTTGTTAAATATCACCAGTGTTCATATGAGTCCTACTTTCCACCACCAATAATCCCCTTGCCAGCCCCATAAGTTACTTTTCGTATTTTATTATTCTTTTCTCTAGGAATCAGAAAACACGTTACCCTAATACCTTGGATGGTTGTGTGTTTAAGTCCTCCTATAGGTGCACCACAGTGACATCTCAGCTCAAATAAAAGTACATCATTGGCTAAGACTTATTCTTAAGGAATAATGTCAGAGAAATTAAAAACATACCCAAAGTTGATGTCTCTGGCCAGGTGGACTCAGCTTGAAAAACGCACCATAGAAGGACACAATGTTTTTGTGAAAAGAGTACTTCCTCAGGAGGTTGAGCTCAGTCCTGAGGTCCTCTTCTTCATCCTATGAAATAAGAACCGACAGCAAAACCCCTAAGCTATGCAATTTAATCAATGTGCATCCATAAAGCTACAGTTTCTCAACAAAGGAGAATCCCATAGCAACTCATTGTATGACATAGCAATTTATAGTAAAAATCTCAACTAGAAGTGTTAGTGAATTGAAATGAGAGATTACCTGGGAATCTTGGAAGGAGAAAGGGTACACTGAAAATTTTTTTACTTCAGTGGTTCTCTAAGTGTAGTCCCTGGACCAGAATCACTGACCACTGTATAGTTTTTACTGAATGAAATTGTTATACTTTTGTCTGTTCTGTGATAATTTTATTGAAATATAACTCACATATATATAATTTACATATGTAAAGTGTATAAAATTTAATATTTCTATATATTTACAATTATGCTTTCATTACAGCAGTTAATTTGGGTACATCTTTATCATTCCAAAATGAAATTCCATAACCACACACACAATTCTGCCATACACATCCTCACTCTAGGCAACTGCTAAACTATCAATTTATCTGAATATTTTACATAAATGAAATCACAACATTTTTAATATTGTATGACTAACTCTTTTGAAGTTTCATCCATGTTGCAACATGTGCCAGCATTTACCAATTATGAATAATATTTTTATGAGCATTCATATCAAGTTTTCCCTTTTATATATGTTTCCACTTGGGGATATAAGCAGGAGTGAAATTGGTAGATTAAATTGTAATTCCACCTTTAACATTTTGACAAAATGAGAAAACATTTTCTACAGTGGCTGCATCATTTTCCACTCCTAACAGCCATGTTTGAGAGTTCCGATATCTTCACACTCTCAGTAATACTTAGTTTGCATTTTATTATTGTAACCGTTCTAGTGAGTGTGAAGAGGTACATTATTTTGGTTTTGATACATAATTCCCTGATGATTAGTGATGCTGGGCATCCTTTCACATGCTACTGCTCTTTATATCTGCTCTGAAAATGTCTACTAAAAACTCCTTTATCTTAATTAAAATGGCGTTGTTTTTATTATTGAGTTATAAGAACTCTTCATATATTATGGGCAATTAGCAAGTAATTTCTCCTAAACTCTGAATTGTCTTTTCACTTTCTTGATAGTGCTCCTTGAGGCATAAAAGTTTGTTTAATTTCAATGAAATTCAACTCATAAATTTCTTTTTATTGTTGGTTGTATTTTTGGTTTCATATCTAAGAATTCATTGCCAAATCTAAGATCATGAAGATTTACCCTTATGTCTTTTTAACTAATTGCTTTTATTTGGGAAGGAAGAAAGGAGGGAAGGAGAAAGAACATGTTCCATCTGTTCCTTTCCTCCCTTAAATGCCTGCAACAGCCAGAGCTCGTTGCATCAGCCAAAAGTAAAGACCTCAATGCAGGTGTCCCCCATAGGTTGCAGGCCTTGGTTGCTGTTGCTTGCTTGGCCCATTAACAAGGAACCAGAATCCTAAGCAGATGGGAGATTCAAACCTATGCACTCTGACACGGGATGCACACATCCCAAGTGGCATCTTAACTGCTATGTCAACTGTCCCCCCTTATCGTTATGCTTTCTTCTAAGAATTTTATAGTCTTGGGCTGTTATATTTAGGACTTTGACCTTTTTTTGCATTAACTTTTGCATAGAGGAGAGAGGCCCAAATTTATTCTTTTGCATGTGGATAACCAGTACCACACAGTCTTGATTAGTTTGTGATTATCCACATTTAGAGGCATTGGATAATTTCGCATTGGAATTATAAAAAGTAATATTTAATACAATCTATTTTCCTGTCACTACAGTCATTCATATGTATAGTGTGTGTGTGTGTGTGTGTGTGTGTGTGTGTGTGTAGTGAAATATGTAGGTAGTCCGTCATCACTGAAGTTCCCCCCAACATTTAACAGTTCAGTCTTAATCCTTTTAGTAATCTATTTATGCTAATTTATCAGAAGGATGAAAGAGACAAATGGCTGAAGAGATCATCAACATACATATGACACTTAGTTTTTTTAACAATCACATTATTTTATTTTTCAATTTGCATGCTTTAATCAATATATAAGGCACATGTTTCTATATCAGTAAACAACTCATATATTTTTACGGATGTATAAGATTGCACAGAATGGAAATATAGGTCTGACACTCAGAGAATGGGTTGGACTTAAATAATTGTTTTTGAGATCATTGAAGCCATCTGGATGAGATCACTGAGGTAGAAATACATAGTTTCAGGAGAGAGCTCTGGCAGAAGGCAGCATGATGTTAATCAGAAAAGAGCCCCCGCCCTGGGCACTAGAGAAGCTAGGTTTTGACCATCAATGAGGAAGTTCATTTAATCTTCTCAAGTTTCATTTACTTTAAAAGAATTCTAAGGGAGGAGGATGGCAGCCATTACTTTGCTCTATGGAATAATATACACAGGGTTCTTTGAAATACTTGGAAGAAAAAGACTACAAACTCAAAATTTTATGGCGAAGTATCTTTGTGACTTGACTTCTTGTTTGAATTAGTCTTATCAGAACTAAACGCCTCTCTCCAGTTTTCAGTATAAACTACAATTGTATCCCACACTGGAGTGCCAGCTCAAATCTCAGCTACTGTGTTTCTTTTATTAAAAATTTATTATTTTTATTAGAAAATCAGAAATAAAGAGGAGAGACAGAGAGGAAGAGCTTCCGTTCATTGATTTACTACTCAAGTGACTGCAACAGCCGGAGCTGATTCGATCTAAGGCAGGACCCTGGAGCCTCTTCCGGGTCTCTCATATGGGTGCAGGATCCCAAGGCTTTGGACCATATTCAACTGCTTTTTGAGGTCACAAGCAGGAAGCTGGATGGGAAGCGGGGCTGCTGGTATTAGAACCAGCACCCATATGGGATCCTGATGCATGCAAGGTGAGGGCTTCAGCAGATAGGCTACAGCGCTGGGTACAGCTACTGTGTTTCTAAGCTAGCTCTCTGCTAATATGCCTGGGAAGCAGTAGATGACTCACATGCCTGGAATCCTTGCCACTCATAATGGAGATCTGGCTTCAGCCTGGCTCAACCCTGACTCCAGTGGCCATTTCGGGAGTGAACCAATGGAGTGGCTGATGGAAGCTCTTTCTCCCTTTCTTTCTGGCTCTGTTTGCACTCTATTTTTCAAATAAATAATAGAAGAAAAATCTCACATACAGGATATATAGAGATGGCATTACTGATTATGAATATAAAATGATGCCTAGTGATCAAGGTGATGTGAGATGGCTCAGGAAGAGATTCTATATTTGGAAAACAGATTCAACACTGCTTCTTAAATGCCTATTAGCCTTCAATTTTACTGTTTGTAAATAATAAGACTCTATTAGCACTCGATTTTACTTTTTTTTGCAAATAATAAGAATCTCTTATCTATACAAGTCTGATTTTTATGTACATTTCAGAAATACTCAAAGTGCAATATATTTGTAGAATTTGATTTTTTAAAAAAATACAAGCATTATGTGTTCTGAAACCTAGAGATAACTTTTGTGCTTTGAATTAGGAAATGGTCAATTCACATGAAAAGCAGTTAAGGAGTTAACTCCAAGTATTTCCAGTTCTCCTCAGCATTTTTCCTCAACTATTCCAATCTAATGACCCAAGAAAAGAAGTCTCTTCCTTGAAACGAGTATCTACTCAGTTATCCCCTTCCTTAGCGTATTCTCCATGATCTGGCAGGAAAAATGGGCCATTGCTTTTTATATTTAGCTATTTTGTGGCTGGGCTGTAAAAATGCTTAACGAAATAAGAATCAAGTGATACATGAGACTCTGTGGTGTCTCCAAGTTGATTTTATTTTTGCTTGTAAGTTAGCTTTTCTTCCCCCAAATATCAAGATTTATAACATGCATTGTAAAAAAAAAAGTTTGAAAGCTCAGAGGGATGGTTGGCAGCTGCAGAACATTCTTTGGCATTTTCCTATGATTTTCCAGTGGATTTACCCATAAATATTTAACTACTAGAAAATAAATCTAAACACCTGTTTGTCTTATGGGGGGAAAGGTTTGGAGCACGATTTGTCCAGTTGGAAACTTCAATAGCAGATTTGGTCCCTTTATTATTTAATAAAGAAATAAAACAATTAATTTGTAGCATGAGAATCACATGGAAGTTTCAGTTCCAGGCTCATCCCGGCTTCCCAAGGAAGTCCAGTTAATAGCTTTCATGTTTCTGTGACCTGTTTCATAAAAAGGTAAAAGTCAATCTTGTGGATTTTGATCCTTGTCATGGTAGATCCTTCAAGTTTGTATTTTCCTTGTGATATAGCCTTCCTTTAAAATATCAACATCTGGTACCTTACAGAAATAAATAACAGGGACAAGCAGGGTGCTCACAGTTTCTATTAAGAGCCAAGGTTCTGCAAACAGGAACATTAACTTATAAATAGAATAATAAACAGGAATGCAGTGATGGTGTTAAGAATACAAGCAACAGGTAACAAGGAAGGGGCAAAGCTGATTTCAACTATTGGTTAGATTCATGTTCAGGGGATTCCTTTTTTTCTTAATTATTAAATTTATGCCTCCAAGAAAGAAAAAGAACAGAATGTCAAGGCTCTGGTTAACTATATACTATTTGTACCATTGTATTTGTACTGTTACTTTGTATATGAGGAAACGGACGCCTACAGAGGTGAGTCTATTTAGTCACAGACTTGGGATTTGAACTCATGTTTCTGGACTTCTACATCATTGCTATTTCTTTGAACTTCTAACATCTCAGAGTTCTGTAGCAAGTTACACACTTTTTATCCCAAAAGATTCAAGATGATTCGAAGAAGCTACTTGGCTGATCAGCTAGCAGCTATTTTACTTACTGTACCATATGATCACAGAAAGCAAAGTCTCTGGCTACAAAAATCTTCTCAGAGTAGGTTTTCTACATCAACAGAACCCCCCCCCCCCAAACACAAATAGGTATTCAAATGTGTTTGAAAACTGTGAGCATGTTTGCCACTCTGAATTAACTGAAAGTTAAGCTTGTAAAAAACACATAAGTACACTGTATCCATCAGGCTAAGCTGGTAATTTAAAACTTCTCCAGATCTTCCAGTAATATGATGCTACAGCATTCTCTGGCTCAGAGCCAGTTGATCCCAGACTAGCCTCAATATTCTGCTTTTTGTGAAGAGGCAGCTCCAGGATGCCAGAACTTCCCTTGTAATTCTACCCAATTCTAGAATCAAAAATCTTTTTCACTGTTAAATAACACCAAACACCGAAGAGGGTTTGCAGAAGATTTTTAAGGGTATTTTATTTATCAACAGAAATAGCTGGTAAAACCAAAATTTATCAGATAACTATTTTTAATGCCTTACCTTCCAGCCTTTAGTAGCTTCTTTGAAAAACTGATTTATTTTATTTATCTGACTGACAGACTAGCCAGAGAGGGGGAGAGAGAGAGAGAGAAAGAGAGAGAGATCTTTCATCTGGCAGTTCATTTCCCAAATAGGCCGCAAGAGCTGGAGGTGGGCCAGGCCAAATCTGGGAGCCAGAAACTTCATCCAGGGATCTCACATGGGGTATAGGGGTGCAAGCTGAGTTCCAAGGCATATGAGTAGGGAGTTGGACTGAAGGCAGAGACTTGAACTGGCACTGACACTGATAGGAGATGCAAGTATCATAGCACTGATGCTGCCTTTGTGCTTTCTCAGTTTACAAAACATATTTCCTGTTACAGCTACTTCTTCTGCACATACTTTGTCTCACAGGATACTTTATAAACAAAAGACAAGCCTTGTACTTAATAGATGAAACATTTAGCTCTTTAGCAATATTTTCTTCTAATATGGCTAGAACATTTCTAAATGTGATGGTGCTAGTGGAAAGTGTTATTTCTAAGATGAGGAAACTATTTGAATTTCATATACTTGAAAGGGGAGAATGCATAAAAATAATATCTGTGAATTACATTGATGAGAGCAGAAATTTTGCTTTTAGGCCCACGTAAATGAAAGATCACATCAATAACATTTACTTGAACAGGGGGAAAAATCTGTCTGAGAGCCAATAAACGACTGGGATCAGAAAGGTTACTTTGTATGGTACTCTCCAAGCACCCTAAGGAGAGAGTGCCTCCACTCCTTCAAGGGTTCAGGTACAGATTGCAGATGTTTGAAGGCTTTTAGGCTGACTAGCCTCCTGTTTGGTTTCTGTCTTTTACTGCTGATACAGTTTTTAGACTCAGGAAGTCCTCATTTGGCTTGCACACAAAGCTTGTTAGAATTATAATGAGTGAAAAGTCGTTCTGCCCAGAACACCATGTACAAAGGAAGGAGCAAGGCTCTCACCAAGGCTAACTTCAGGCAAAATTTGCTCTCGATACTCCACCCCCTCATTTGCTGCTATCCAGCTACAGGGATCTATGATCTGCAGATACACTCAATCTCTTGTCCGTAGGCAACGCCTTCCTGTTTATAGGACCATTTCTTCTTAGTAATGCTCTCTGACATATGCCAGAATTCAAAGATGATGACTCAATCTACGTGAACGTGTTATCACTTCCAGACAAGAACATTTTAGTGGCAGCCTGCTATAGTTAATGATAGCATGCACATGGATAAAATTAAAGTAAAAAACGAAAGGGACGGACTACATGAGTGCTAATGAGAACTTTTTGTACTCACGCTGTATCTCCACCCAACAGACTTCTGGTATTTATTCACTCTCACTCGCTTTCCTATTTCAGGTAGAGGAGTCTGCAAAACCAAGCAGAAAATGTTACTAGACTCTGAAAATGATTTCTGCTTAAGTATTTTTTGCTTCTTTAGTACCAAATGGAAGAGTAAGATAAGATTACTCATCTCTCAGTGTTCACTAAAAATTTTGAATCGAAAAAAATAATTTTTATTATATAGAGATGATTGGTATCAGTTTCACGATAATAGCATTAGCTGCCATATTAATGGGAAAGTTTCAATTTGATGTCAGCAAAATTCCATTTCCCTCTTTCAAAACCAGGTAGCAACACTAGCCATGTATACACTGAACATGATTTTTAAATATTTCAAAAGCCTAAGTATCTTAAATTTATATTACAGATGATTCAAGACCAAGCCAAACAAGCAAATGAGTATTTTAGAGGTCTTCACTCAAAAATACACACTTGATTATTTGAAAGCCATGGTTTATAAAGCAAAATAAATACGCAAAACTTCAAAATCCCCTGAAATTCACATTACTCTGCAACATTTGACATTTGCTGGTAAAAACAAAACATATAGCTTTTTTATTTTAGCAATTCATTTCTTGCACAAATTGGAAAAGAACAGTTTATGGCACTCACAATGGTTCAATAAATCTGGATAGTTTTTCAAATATAAATTTTCCTTAAAATGAAGTGAAAAAAAAATGTCCTTTGCTACCGCCATGCTAATATTATCTGGAGAAACTAAGGTATCCATGCTAAAGGAAGAGGACAGAAATCAGTGCTTAGCAAATTCCCGGACGATATGTGATGAATTTTGACATGACCTTATGAATGTTAGCAGGAACAATGCCAATTAAACTGTCTCTTACATATCTGTCAAAAAGTACACAAAAAATGTGCATCTCTGACAAGTTCTTTTCTTCTACCTGTCACTGAAAATGCAATGGGTTCAATTTTCAGTAGGGATCCTAAGAGCGGGAGAGATATTATGACACAATAGGATTAACATTATAGCAGCAAAAATCTTTTCTTTGCTACCCCAAACAATATAATCAACTAGAAATAGAAAGGAATGCAGATATTTCCTCATTCTTTCTGTGTGAGTGAAGCATAGTAAATTAATGGGTGTAAGTCAATTATAAATATAGATTAATGTGATTATATTAAATATTAATATTTATAAATATCAGTATTTACAAATATTTACACATAAATATTAAGTGATACTACAACTACAATATCTTCCTAGCAGTTTAAATTCAATGGCACAGTCCTTTCGGGGAAAGAATACATCAAGGATATACTACCTTACGAGCGTTCATCACTTTAACAGCTGTAAATACACCAGTCTTCTCATGAAGTCCCTGAAATATAGGATAGATTAACATCAAGCACTTCCTAGATAATCCTGCCAGCAGGAGAAAGGCAAAAATACTAAATTAAGTCAAACACACAGTATATTATAAAATATTTGTTAAATACAGACAAAATAATATGGTTTCTATAGAGAACTAAATATGAAGTTAACATTTTAAAGAGACTCCAGCTATTTCACTCAAAAAATCAAGTTACAGGTTATTGATTGGGAAAGAGTAAGTACCACAATCAAGACTTTTTTGTTTAAAAACCTAAAATCTTGAAGGAAAATGCCAAAGGCAGAATCAGGGTTACATAAGGACTGGACAGGAATCAGTTTTCTATCAATCCACAAAGCAACAGCATCAGGTTCTAGGAACAAGCTTCCTCAGAAAGTAACCAAATCCTTTGCAAATTGGATTTTAAATTATCTATCTATCTATCTATCTATCTATCTATCTATCTATCTATCTATCTATCTATCTATCTATCTATAAGCCAGAACAGCAACAGTCAGAAACAGCCACATAGATCATCCACGTACTGGTTCACTCTCCAGAAATAGCTAGAGTTGGCCAGTGCCAGGGCAGGCTTAAGCCAGGAGTCAGTAACTACATCCGGGTCTCCCACACGGATAAGCTGGAGTCCAAGCACATGGAACATTCTCTGCTGTTTCCCATGTGGATTAGCCAGGAGCTGGGTCCTAAGCAGAGCAGCTGAATATTGAAGCAGCACTGTGGAATGGAATGTTGGTGTCACAAGCAGCAGCTTAGCTAGCTGCACTACCAGATGACCACTCCTTTGCAACTTCTTTAGTCTAAGTTTTGTTTTAGAAATTTTGAAAGGAGCATGGGCTTCTGTTATGTTCTATCACTTGTCTTAATTTGGGCAGCTTTTGTTGACAGAGTGGGATAATGTTTTCATGGAGAGTTAAAAATATTTATAAACTGAGTTTATAAAAAATGACTAAATATACTGCAGATCCTCAAAATTTATTTGCCACTCTGGGAAGATTATGTGTTAATATTTTTACACAGTCTTATGTCTTAGAAGGCAATTTTCCTAATTGTTCATACAAACAGTTTCTGGTTAAATTCTGCGACATCTGTATACACAAACACAGAATTTTGGAAAACGCATCTCACATACCACTTACAGTACTTCCAATGTTTCCTTCTTTGGCTCCCGAAGTTATTGATGGTACAAATTACTAAGCTATACAAAGTGCTTGGCATGCTAGCAAAGATGTTAGCCACATATAGTCTGATTTGATTAAAATTGAAACACAAAAATTTTAATACCTTAAATCTACCACCATCATAATCATGTCACACATTAAACTGAATGTCATTTAAAATGCTACCCATGGTGAGAGAACAGGAAAAATTCAGCACACTTCTACCCTCATTATCTGTGATGGAGTCTCTTTTGAAAATTACAAACAATTATTTTTTCTAACAATATATCCTCAGGTGCAATTGGAATACATGTCCACTGTGTGTGCAGATAGCAAGGCCTAGGTCTTAGAACCAGGCACTGTATTAATACACCACACTCTTACATAAGCTTTTGAAGAAATCTGGTACATAACAAATAATGGAAAGTTTCTACTAAGAAACAATTTCAGAGTTGTCCCTGAACCTTGACTTTCTAAAACTTGGCTTTGAAATAACTTTATTCTTAGAAAGTAGTTCCAAAGATAGTACAGACATTTACTGAATGAATGTGTCCTTCATGCAGCTTCTAATGTTAACACTAAATTACTTGGCTATGACCCAATGGTCAAAACTGACAAGCAAATAGTATCAGCACAACATTCTCAACTGAATTATGTACTTCATTCTGATTTCCCTCGCTTTTTTTTCCCACTCACATCCCCTTTACTAGGACCCAAACCTAGATTCCATGTTCTACTTAAGTTGTCATGTCTCAGATTCTGCCAACCTGTGATGGCTCATTTCCAGTTTTCCATGACTGTGCCACTTTTAAGAGCCCTGGTCAGGTATTTTGTGAATTGTCTTTGAATTTTGGCTGGGCTAATATTTTACTATGCTCATTCTGAGGTTGTGGGCTTCAGGAAATAATCTTTCAGAGGTAAAACACCCTTTGTATTACATCATATGAAAGGTACATGGTATCACCCTGAATGAGCTATGATCTTAACCTTGATCACTTGGTTCACATAATATCCAGCAGTTTTCTCTACTAGAAAGTGACTATTTTTCTTTTCCGTACTCCATTCATTACATGTTAGTGACACAGATTCTGAAGAGGGATGATACTATTGTGGAACATCTAGACATCAGTTGAGGTAAGCTAATTGTTCAGTGGTGCCATCTTGTGGTTAACTGATTATATGGAAATTGTGAGCTGAAAGCCAAGTTATATGGATCCTCTCCATAAATGTGGAACTAGATAGAGTCTGTAAAGCCAGTTTTTAGGATGTATCTTTTCAGTTACAATGTATGTTTTACAAAAAATAAGTTAAAATGTTTGTTGTAAACATACATAGAAAATGCTGAGAAAAAAGTATGATTTTAGATTCTATACAGTGTTAATCTCATAATTTTCTTGGGCGTTAGTAAGTATTAAATAGGAAAATTATGAGAATATTTCAAATTATAAATGTTGACTTTTCTGTTTTTTCTACTAGCGATATCCACAGTATTATATGGAAGCTACTAGCTGCACTGACATAGCAATGCTCTTCTTAAAAGAGTGTGATAAGCCACGCTGTAGCATAGCAAAAAGTCACTAATATGAAAACAGCATTCCATATGGACTCTAGTTCAAGTCCAGCTGTTCCACTTCCAATCTAGCTCCCTGCTGATACCCTAAGAAAGCAGTGGAAGACAGCCCAAATCTTTGTCATCCTTCACCGACATGGGAAACTCAAATGGAACTCTAGGTTCCTGGCTTCCTTGTGGCTGAACCCTGACATGGCAGCCATTTGCGGAGCGAAACAGTGGACTGAAGATTTTTCTCTCTGTAATTATATCTTTCAAATAGATACATTTTTCAAAGAAACAGTGTATGACTGTAAAAAAATGCCTTTTTAGTTTTTGAAGTGACAAATGATATACATTTATGATGCATTATTTATCTCCATATATTTTTTTAGAATGGCTGAATCAAGTTAACTAACATACATGATTTCAAATGCTTATCACTGTTTTGTGGCGAGAACACCTGAAATAGACTATCTTGATAGTTTTAGCCATATAATATATTGTTAGTAGCTGCTATCACCATAATGTGTAACAGAATTTTTGAACTTATTCCTCACCCATAACTGTAATTTTTTGTCATTTGACAAGTATCTTCCCCATTTTCTGCACCAAGATCCATCCTCCTGCACCAACCTCTGGTAATCCCCTATACTATCTGCTCCAATATTTCACAGCTTTTAGGTTCCACATATGTTCATGCAGAATTTGTATTTTGGTGCATCGTTTATTTAACTTAATCTCCTGCTCTTCATGATCACCCAGACTGTCACAGGCGACAGTTTCCTTCTTTTAAAACAATTCTCAAGCATCATGCAGTTAAGAGAAGGAAATTGTCCAAAATGTCATGACTTCTATTTATTTATTTATTTGCTGCTTACGTTTGGGGGGGGTGGTAATTTTATGGAGGTTCTCTCATAGCTGAAGAACACAACTATTATGTACTATCAGGTCCTGGCAGTCCTTTCCAACTCTTGACCCAAGCCTACCATCTTTACAGAGCTGCATTGTGGTACAGTGGCCTAAATCGCAGCCTATGATGCCTGCTTCCTATACTAGAGCTCCAGTTAGAGTTCCAGCTCCTTCACTTATGATCTAATTACCTGCTAAAGTCATTGGCTTGGGAAAACAACAGTACATGGCTTAACTGTTTGGGCTCTTGCATCTACATGGGTGGAGTTCCTGGCTTCTGGCTTCAGCCTGGCCCAGAGCTGGATACTGTGATCATTTCGAGAGTGATCAATAGGTGAGTGAGTGAGCTCTCTGTCGCTCTGCCTTTCAAATAAATAGAATATGTATTTTAAAAATGAAAAAAAAATACAATCTATCATCTCTGAGGCTGGCCTTGTTACACAGCAGGTTAAATCAGCACTTGTAATTCCAGCAGCCCATACAGGAGTGCCAATTCAAGTCCTGCCAGTACCAGTTCTGAACCAGCTTCCTGCTGATTCAACTGGGAAAACAGCAGAAGGGTCATCTTAGGCTCCTGCACCCAAGTGGGGGTGAATTTCAAGTTTTGACCTGACCCAGCCTCAGCTGTTGTGGTTTTTTGGGGAATGAATCAGTAGATGGAAAATCTCAATCCTTCATTCTTATTCCTAATCCTATTCATGTTCCTATTCCTATTCTTATTCTCTTTCTCTCCCCCGTCCCCTCTATTTCTGTATAACTGCTTTTTAAATACATAAAATATTTTTACAAAAGAATCTATGATTTCCACCACAGGAAACTTTTTCAAGTAAGACACAAAGTTCATATCGGGGGGGGGGGGAAGGTAGAAGATGAAATAATTTGAAAATCTCTCCCATATCCTGCAAACCACTGCAAAGTATAAAATTCATTCATTCAAGTACTCCATTCTATTAAAGTAATTAAATTCCTTGATTACTGCAATATTTGCTGAAGACACATTAATTACTATTTGCTATTGACATTATCACATGAGTTGGATGATCACATGGGGAAACTGCAACAATAGTAGGGAACGGGAAAACCTGCAGAAAGAGAAGGTGCAAGAAGCAAAGGGCTGGAATCTGAGGAGTTGCAGGACAGGCCACTTCTCATCCACGAGGAAAGAAGCAGAGAACCACAACGGAGAAAAGCAAATCAGTTAGCAAGCAGGAGTTCTCACACAGTGGAGAAATGAAAAGGAAGGATGATGGACAAGGGAAAGAGATGCTGTTTCATGTTACCACTTTAAAATGGTTGACAATTTTTAAGATGCATACACCTGAAACCATCAGAGAATGGTACAAAGAATAGTGATACACAGTTTTGAGTCA